TTTCCGGCATTGAGTACTTGATTGAGATCGAAAACAACTCCCCGGCACTCAAGCGCGTGCCAGCATCGTGGGTGAAGGTCAGCGGCACAAAAAGAGTGTCCCGCTTCCACACGCCAGAAGTCATCAAGCTCATCCGCGAGCGTGATCAGCACAAGGAAGCCCTAGCAGCAGCCTGCGACCAAGCATACAAAACTCTCCTAGCTGATATTGCAGCGCAATACCAGTCCTTCCGGGATTGCATCCAATCCCTCGCAACACTCGACTGCTTATTATCTCTCGCAGAAATAGCCCAACAACCAGGCTATGTCAAACCAGAATACACAGAAGAAGCAGGCCTCCACATTGAGCAGGGCCGACACCCAATGGTCGAGCAACTCCTTACCGACACATACGTACCCAACGACACAAATCTCCAGCACGACGGCACACGTGCGCTCCTCGTCACCGGTCCAAACATGGGAGGTAAATCCAGCTATGTGCGTCAGGTAGCACTGATCGCAATTATGGGCCAGATCGGATCCTACGTTCCAGCAGCTTCCGCCCGACTCGGCCTCCTAGATGCGGTATTCACGCGCATGGGCGCCTTCGACAACATGCTCGCCGGCGAATCAACCTTCATGGTCGAACTCTCCGAAACAGCAGATATCCTCAAGCAAGCAACGCCTCGATCCTTGGTTATCCTTGACGAGCTGGGCCGCGGTACATCAACGCATGATGGTGTTGCCATCGCGCAGGCAGTACTTGACTACATGGTTCGGTCGATTCAATCCCTCACCCTTTTCATCACGCACTACCAGCATCTGTCGCGCATGGTGCATTCCTTCCCGGATCACGCTCTCCGCAATGTCCACATGCGGTTCACCGAGACAGGTACCAAAGACAAGGGTGGGGATGGGGAAATCACATTCCTCTATGAGGTTACTGAGGGAGTCGCGCATCGAAGTTATGGGCTGAATGTTGCGCGGCTGGCGAACTTACCTCCGGCTGTTATTGACATCGCTCGCCAGAAGAGTGCTGAGCTGGAGGAGTCTATCCGGCGCAAGCGGTTGGCTGGGCTTTTGGGGGCGGTTGGTCGGGTCATTGATGACAAGAATGATATCGACGAAGAGTCTGCTGGTGCTGATAGTCTGCTTAATAGGCTCATGGCCAGTGCAGAGCAGCTGTAATTCTACATAGTATGCGGGGCATTGGGCATTTTCGGTTAAACTGTTACATACATATGCATGAATTTAGCATGATCTTTAGATCCTGGATATCAATATTGAATCAAATAAAGTTAGCCGCTTGTGCAGTCTCTATTTTAACCCTAAAGTGTTGAGGATCAGCACTGCGACGTCTTTATATATCTTGTGAATGTCTTTTCCCCTTTCTCAGCGCTATAGCTATAGAGATGGCGGCAAAAGGCATCTTACAATAGTTACTGTCTACCTGCCCACGGGTACTTGGTAGACATGTTAGGAACCCTAGACAGCAATTCTAGAAACTCACATAGACTACACTGGCCAGATGCTCTACGAACGCTTTCAAAACCTCGACCTCGACAAGGCTGAACTGGAAGTTTTCAAACTTTTTTTTTGGATTCCATTGTTCTTTTTGTCGATCGGGGCCTGGTTCGAATCGGCGTTTGTCTTTTCTTAAGTACCAGTGATGGGAGGAAAGCTGGTACGAGGAAGAAAAGAGAGGAAACAACATCACAACCTCGTTTGTCGCATTGAGCCCATGCAAGCACGCCTAGACGTGTGTATGTAGTAAAACACCAAGATCGAAACCAGACCAGACCGTGCCACAAGTCCACAAACCAGCCCTCGCGCAAGAACTTGATTTCGTTTTCTCGTATCAATAAAAAAAAGGCTTCTATTATCTTTTTTGCGGTTCTCTGCTCCTCTCTCTCACGATCGTTTCTCCATAATTGACCTTCCGGGACTTTCGGCGTTATAAAAGCCAAAAGTCAATCCACCCAAAACAACCACCTCCAGTCGAAACGTCGGAAATCGTTGAAACGGCCCCTCGAGAATCGGCAGGCGGGGACGATTGGGCAGCGCGGGGGTTTAGGGCTGAGGAAGATAGGAGGTTGAAGGTACGGCAAGAAAGAAAAGCGGGGGACTCGATTTTGGCCGAAGAGTAATCATGAAAAATCGGTCGTAAGGGATATGCGAGAGAAGAAGAGAGACAAAATAGATGACGCGAGCAAAATTTCGTTTTGGTGGATTTTAACGGAGACGGCGGGCCTCGCGCTCAGACTCGAGCAAGCAGAGGATGTCGTCAACGCGGACTGGTGCGGAGTAAATGTTAGCGATGTGGTTCGGCAAAGTTTTCACGTCGTCTTTTGGGTCGGTTCTCGAAAATTGCATATTTCAACATGGGAGCTCTTTTCATTGTATAATGAATAGACCCATTTTTCTTTTTCCACCTCTTGGATCCCAAAAGACGACCGGGTTCAAGGAAATCAATATCGCATACCTGGGCCCTTGACGTTGCGGATGATGGAGCGGGAGGTGTCGTCCATGAACTCGACGCGGACCTGGGTGACACCACCACGGGATCCTAAATAAATTAACCATAAATTAGCCATTGCTATTCCTCCAAGTGTATCTTCTTTATCGGTTGTTTCGGGCGATCCGGGGCGCAATGGGTGCATCCCGCGAATATCGAATATCGAATTGTGGGTTTTGGAGCTTCAAAAAGCTGGGAAAGCACATACCGGTGCGGCCGAGGACACGGGTCACCTTGACGAGCTTAACGGGCTGCTTGCTGGAATCCATCTTGGAGGATAGGAGAGGGCGTTGAGCTCGAGGGTTGGAGTTGGTTGGACTGAAAGTAAGAGAGTGTTGAAGTGGAATTTGGCCTGTGTGGGTTCGTGCAAATTACGCGAGGGCTCAGGGCCAGCTTGACACCTGAGCCGTCAGGCATAATATGAGTCAGCGATGGGGGATCGACACCCGATAGATCAGGCATATAAGGCAGAACATATTTTTTTGGAACTCCGATATCGTTCGGCATCACTATTAGACAACTTTTAGAGCTTCGGCTTCCATAGCCAATTATCCTATAGAATACACCAAAAACTCGTTACAGTCTGTACCAAACATATGTAGATACTCCCAATAGCTATACACCAGAGAATTCTATCACGTGGGCTTATACTGTGCAACCAACACGGTACCTCCCCTGGTCCCCCGGTCCCCCGGCCCCGTCACTAGTCACCGGAGTAATCTGCCCCTCCAATTTCTGCCGCAAGAAGCTCCGGTCTCTCTCCCACTCTGACTCCTCTAGACTATATTAGCTATTCTATCTTGTTTTCGAGATATATCCACTGTCTCTGAATTGCAATTGACTTAACCTCTTTGTCGATTGATCCCCGACCAGCTTATTCCCCCACCTCAAACCCTTGAAAGCCCCGCGCCGCACCGCTCTATCGCCATGGATCTCGTCAACCAGTGAGTCAATTTCAATTACAAACCTACATTTGAATCCCTGCTAACATACCAATTCTAAACAGCCTGGAAGGCCGTCTCCTCTTCGCCGTGCCCAAGAGCAAGTTCCCTCCCAAATCGTGACTCATAGTCTGCGAGCAGCGATACCCACATGAACAAGAAACAAAGATATAGAACCCAAGACTGACGACATAAACCTACTATATAGAAGGACGTCTGCAACAAGCAACTCTCGACCTCCTCTCCGGCTGTGATGTCCAGTTCCGCCGCGAAACCCGCCTCGACATCGCGCTGGTCAAGAACCTGCCTATCGCACTGATCTTCCTGCCCGCTGCCGACATCCCGACCTTCGTTGGCGAAGGCCGTGTCGATCTCGGCATCACTGGCCGCGATCAAGTCGCCGAGCACGATGCCACCCTTCCCACCGGCGAGACCTCCAACGTCGAGGAGATCCTCGACCTGGGCTTCGGCGCCTGCAAGCTGCAGGTGCAGGTCCCCGAAAAGGGCGAACTCAAGGAGGCCAAGGATCTCGTTGGCCGCAACGTCGTGACCAGCTTCACTGCCCTCACCGAGGCTTTCTTCCGTAACCTGGAGGGCGTTGAGGTTGGCGAGAAGCTCGCCACAAAGATCAAGTATGTCGGCGGCAGTGTCGAGGCTGCTTGTGCTCTCGGTGTTGCCGATGGTATCGTTGATCTTGTTGGTATGTTGCGATGATCAGTCCATTGAAATATTGGGAAAACCGGAATTCGTTGCTAACACTCAATCTTCTATTCAGAGTCCGGTGAGACTATGAAGGCCGCTGGTCTCAAGGCCATCGACACCGTTGTCTCCAGCACAGCCGTGCTGGTCAAGTCCCGCAAGGCCAACAACGACATGCTCACCCTCCTCACCTCCCGTTTGCGCGGTGTCATCACCGCCCAGAAGTTCGTCCTGTGCCAATACAACATCCCGCGTGAGCAGCTGCCCGTCGCGTCTAAGATTACCCCCGGCAAGCGCGCGCCTACCATCACCGCCCTCGAGGAGGAGGGCTGGGTTGCTGTCAGCTCAATGGTGGAGAAGAAGCGCATTGCCACGGTAATGGATGAGCTGATTAAGGTCGGCGCGAGTGATATCTTGGTTATGAACATTGCCAACTCACGCACGGATTAAAGACTTGATGATACTTTGTTTTCTTTTGGGGTTTTTATAGCATCCTTCTTTTCTTTTTTTCTTTATATACCGTGATGGACTTTTCGGGGATACTATTTCCTTTTCTTCTGGTCTTGATAGAGACTTCTATTATTGGAGAGAACAAAAAAGCACATACATAGAATGGGATAGGATTACATAGCGTGTGTGCAAAGAGATCTATTACTTTATTTTTCTATTTCTATATGAATAGCCTCTCATGCTCCCCTATACAACTGGGAACATGTATAACTACATAGGCTCAACGCAATATGATACAGTCACACTAAACGTGCCATATCCAAAAAGACCTGCCCAAAATCATCAAACGCATGGCCAATGGTATCATCAAAAGAATAAAAAAAACCAACAAAAACCAAAAATCCCACACCGTATTCCTTATAATTCCTTCTCTCCCAATCCCACACCCTCCTTCCTCCCCCTCTGAACAGCCCTAAGACACTGCCCAACACCCTCAAGATCTCCAAGCAACCCAACATGTCCCCGGTCACTCTTCACCAACCCATCCTTGATAATCCTATATCCAGGTGGTAACATAGCAGCCGAAGCAAGACAAACTCCATCCCCAGCCGCGAAAGCAAGGTCATCATATGCATCAACCTGCTTAATACTCTCACGCGACACAACCCGCGCCCCGTATACAGTCGGCAGCGTCTTCCCGTACAGCACCGCCGCAGGCGGGTACCTATTCTCGGAATGATGCGAAGGTCGGAATGCAAGGTTCTCCTTGAACCGTTTGGTATCTGCCAACGTGCGCTGTAGATACTCCTTCGCTACGGCGCGTGGGATGGTGCTCGTCGTGGCGATTTTGGAGGTTGCTGCGCTGCTGCGCGGGTGTGCGCCTGGTCCGACTAAGCCGTCGGCTGGGTTTTGAGCCTTTTCGGCAGCATATGCGGCGTATGCGGCAGGGTTGTGCGGCGTGTTTGCGTTGCGGGCTTGGATGCCTTTATCTGTTGCGGTGAGGGCGTGGCTATCTTGTGGGATGTCGTGAGAGTCCTGAATGAATTCGTCCGAGTCGTCGCGCAACCCCATTGAGAAGCGCTTGCCGAGGATGGGTATATCTTTGAAGCCGAGGATGGTGCTGTTTGTTGTTGGAGGGACGGGGAGAGCGGGGCCCATGCAAGGGGAGAGACGGTGCTCCTCCCATGTTTTAGCGTCGAAGAAGTCGATGCGGAATTCTTTTTTGCTTTGCTTGTCGATGAAGCAGTGGCCGTCTTCGGGGAGGAGGGCGAAGCTCGTGCGGAAGGTGAAGTTTACTTGAGCTGTTAGAACGCGTGAGCTGAGGAGGACGTCATCGCCGTTGCGGAGTGGTCCGAGGATGTTCACACAGTGCTGGGGTACGCCTGCGTACACAACTCCGGCGAAGAGATCTGGTCGCTCGTTGACGGCGTGTCGGGTTATGAGACCGCCCAGGCTGTGGGCGATGACTGTAGCGCCGCGTCGGGGCTGCCCTGGTGCAGGCTCCTGGTTACACGGCAGGCTCTCTAGGAAGGAGATGAGCCTGCGCGAGAGCAGCTCGGGACTTAGACGCCAGTCATATCCATAATCGTGGACACGCATTTCGCCACGCTGGGCATTTTCGCTCTTGCGCAAGCGCTTCATCAATCGTCGACAGACGTCCACCGGGCCAACGTGGGAGAGAACTCCAGATGGAATGATTGTCTCTTCCATGCGTTCCTCGTCCTCTGGGTTCAGACCGACCTCCAAGTCCACTTTCCGCAGATTCAGGCCAACCTTCATCGGTACCCAAAGTTGTCGATGGGGTGGCTTAGCTGATCGCAGGATTGATCCTCGGTAGCCTCCTAGAATCACGACATCGCCGGTGAGCTCTGCCATTGCTTCTTCTAAGATTGGATGTGTTATGTTAGGGTTATTCCGCGAAGTCTGAGGCGGGCTTGCAGCGCGCGGTGGTTCCTTTTTGGCCGAACTAGCAAAGTTGCTGTTATTTGATATACCGTTTCCAAGGTCTGGCAGGAATGGACGAGAGCCCCAATCAGTGCGGATATCCTGTAGATGGAGGTTCGGCATACTAAGCAGCCTGCTACTCGAGTCTTGGAGACTATCCTTGATTGCCTTGAACCGGCTATTTACCTGGGTGTGTACATTCTCATATAATGGTCGCTGCTCTAGGGATGATGCCGTGGATGACGCACGCAGATACAGTGATTGATCTGAAGAGGACCTCCGCAAACTTGGCGGTCGACCAGGCATCGCCGCACTAGGCCTCCGGGCGAAGGAATGTTTCGCGACCGAGGTTCCATCTGGTGAGCGCAGCTCAGGTATCGATTGAGCAGCTTCTCCGTCATCGTCAATGCTAGAGCCGCTTGGTGGGAGAGGTGACGGCAGCGGACGCCCACCCAGCGATGAAGTTCTTTTCGGTACTCCGGAGTTCTTCTTAACTGCGGGTGCTACCGTCTGGCTGCGGATTCGGTTTTGGCCATTGGGGCCACGGAACGAGAGGGAGGGCCGGTTCTTCAATGAAGTCAGGTCAGGCAGGAATTTCTTCAGCTCGCCGGACCAGCTACGTTGCCGGCGAGGCAATGTGTTCTTCAATAAGGCCCCAACAAAACCAGACCGCTGGCTCAACCCTGTATCTTTGGACCCGGTCTTTTCAGATGCAAAAAGATCGCTGCGGGGACCATGGGCAAGGTGACCTGGTTCGGGTTGTTTATACTGTGCGGTGGGGTATGACGCCCTAGGCTTATGTCCAGACGTTCGTTCGTGCGGTGCTGGTGCTGGTGCTGGTGCTGGTGCTTGTGCTGATGGTGGCGTTGATGTTTTTTCGACCTGCTCCACTGACTCTGGCTCGGCCGTGATTTCTGATGCAAACAGACCATCTTCGCCTACAGTATCCGGTATCGTCGTAAAGTATGTCCCGTGATGTTCCAGGACTCGATTCTTCTCTGCTAGGGGAGTAGCTCGGGCCTTCATGCGGCTCTGCTCGCGCCCGATGCTAACCCCCACCATGTCACCGGCGTCATCTTCATCGGTAACCTCAATTGCATGTGGGAGTGGTTCATCGCTATCCGAGCTAGAGAAGGACGAATAATGGGAGGGAGAATCTGAAACGACATTTGAAGATGTCTCCGAGGAGTACAATGTCTTCTGCGGGAGTGTTGTGGTGGTTTTTTGGGAGGAATATTGTCGGTCGGCAGGAATTGAGGCCATGCTGAGGAAAGGAAAGCGCTGAAACTTCAAGACATTCAAAGGAAATATTATAACTGGGATATTGTAAGTTGTTTTGAGAGAAAAGGAAACATGTGGGTTTCCTCAGCACAGCCTTCTCGGGTCGGTCGGATGTATAAAAAAGTATAGAAGAACTACCAAGAATTATTAAGAAGAATCAAGTTTTTCTTAATAAACATTTAAGCTATTGCAAATGCTTAGCTAGATATATAATTACTATGTCGAGTATATCAATGAAAAGGTCTGTTGGACTTTTGATGTCTTTTGCATGTGACTAGATATTTCCTCTACTTGACGTATCTTCTCCCCTTCGAAAATTGACCAGACCTCATCTCCTCTGCACCCTTATTCGCAATCTCCTCATTCCTCTCAGCACCCTCATTAGATCCAAAAGCCCGATCAACAGCCGTATTCAACGCCCCGCGCAATGATTCTCCAGCACCCTATAACCTAATCAGACCCGTTTGCTCGTTTCCCGATTTCAACTTACGTGAACCGATGCTGCAGCACCCTTTACTTTATTCCCAAGTCCTTCACCAGCCCGTGCAGCCCTAGACCCAGAAGCCGCTTGATCCTGCATTTCCGACCGCTGTGCTGTACTAGCAGTGTACGGGAGTGGCGCATCCCCGACAATCCGGTCATCGCTGCGAGAGGGCGACGGTGAGAGTGGTTGCTGGCGGGTCTGGCTTGGTCCGCCTGCGGATGATTTCGAATAACTGGCTCCTGTGGCAGGATTGTAGCCCTTGGTTTCATCGTACTCGGATCGTGTGTCGCGGAGGCCTGTTGGGCGGCCTGGGGCGCCAGTTGATGAGCCGCCACCCACTGCGCCCCGGGCAGTTTGAGTTGGATCGGCGTGTTCGTAGCTTTGGTAAGTTCGTGACATTGCCCAGATGGATATATATATATATATTTAGTTATTGGTCCAGTGTTAGTAGGAGAAAATATAGCAGTTCATAATTTTAACAGTTCGGTCTATACTTCCTGAATAATGATGTCACGATGAGTGAGGGTGGACTAGATACGGATAGATTCACCTGTATAAATCCCCTTCTCTATGTATACTGTAGATGTACGCATATCTATCATTTTATGTTCAAAATCGAAATAATGCATCTCCAAATTGATTATTCAACACTTTACCTTTTACCTTGGGGCCGAGGTCCAAGGAGCAGTTTTCCTAATATGGAACATCCCCGATACAGATATATACTTTCACAACTCCTCCCTCTTTTGCACAACACTTCTCTCTTCACCAATCCCTAAATATCCTCAAAATGTCTAAACAAATCATCTACACCACCCCTCCGGCCCCGGCCATTGATCCCTCTCTCACCAGCGGTACCTTCCGCGTAAACACCCTCCCCATCCCCAAAGATGTACCAACAGACAAGCTCCTTGTACGAGTACACTACCTCTCTCTGGACCCCGCCATGCGCCAATGGCTCACAGCCAAGCGTTCCTACATCGCGCCCGTCGAACAAGGCGCCGTGATGCGCGGCCAGAGCATCGCCCAAGTCCTCATCGTAGGCAGCGACCTGACATCCAAGTACAGCAAAGGCGACTGGGTCGTCGCCGGCTCCGGCTGGCAGGAGTACGCGGTTGTCAGCGCGAAAGAAGCACAAAAGATAACCGTTCCGGCCGGCGGACGGCCCACAGACGCGATGTCCGTGCTCGGCATGACCGGGCTGACGGCCTACTTTGGCATGGTTGAGATCGCGCAGGTGAAGAAGGGAGACACGGTTGTTGTTTCTGGGGCTGCGGGTGCCACGGGTATGGTGGCTGGCCAGATTGCGCGGATTAAAGGCGCTAAGCGGGTTGTGGGGTTGGCGGGAAGTAAGGAGAAGTGTGACTTCTTGGTTAAGGAGCTTGGGTTTGATTCAGCGGTCAACTATAAGGACGCTGATTGGAAGAAGCAGCTTAAGCTCGCTACGCCTGAGTATATTGATGTTTTCTTCGATAATACCGGTGGTGATATTCTTGATGCTTGCTTGGCGAGAGCCGCTACTGAATCCCGCTTTGCTATCTGTGGGGCTATCAGTCAGTATAACGCTGCTAAGCCGCAGGGTCCGGGCAGTTTCATGAATGTGATTGTGAGTTCTCTTGAGATTCGGGTTTCCTTTTGGGGGGATTGAAGGCTAATTGATAACAGTCGCAACGCATCACCATGAAGGGGTTCATTGTCTTCGATTTTGCGAAGCAATACCCAGCTGCACTCAAAGAGCTTGGCACTTGGTTGGCTGAGGGTAAGCTCAAGCGCAAAGAGCATATTGTGCCTGGTGGCTTGGAGGCGGCGCCTCAAGGTCTCATTGACCTCTATGCTGGTGCCAACACCGGTAAGATGATGGTTGAGGTAGCGCCGGTCAGTGAGGCGTTGGCTGCGAAGGCCAAGCTGTGAACGTATGCCATTTCAGGTTTGAGATTTCATAGCATCATACATAGTATCACGTAGCAGATAGTATTTGATCTTGTCTCTTAACTTGAATTCTAAATAACTTTTGGACATAAAGAGAAATCCCAAAAATATATATACCCCCTACATATAATCCCAGTTGCTTTTATATTCAACCGCCAGGTCTTCTATCAAGCTCAATTGCAGATAGTAGGACGTCTCTATCACCTTGGTTAGATATTAAGATAGATATGTATTTTCCCTTCTATTAATGCCTGCTTGGGTCTTTTCTACTTGAGTATATAGAAATGACGTCACTCTGATATACTACATGAGGGTGCTTCCCCATAGATTCAAGATCCAACCTTGGAATATATATATGTTAACAGGAATTTCAGATAGTTACCTTGATGACCTACGAATGATGCACCGAAACAGGCAAAATATGACCAGAACAAGTTTTGTACGTTTGTCAAAAACTCATGACTTATTCCCATGAATCCCATCATAATCGCCTATTTATACAGCCATGGCGCGACTCTACATACCAGCTCTTAGCAAATACCAAAAAGTTTTTCCATCAATTCCATCAACCCAAATACTGAAGCTCTCTCTCCTACCTTCTCGTCAATTCAGAGTGTATCACACCAGAAAATCTCCCATTTCAGACAAGACCAAAATGGCAGCCAACGAAAGTAACCAACGCTTCAAGCTTGAAAACCTGTTCAATGTGAAAGACAAAGGTGAGCCATATACAACCACTCCATTCTAGCCTATTCTAACAACACCTAGTGGCCCTGATCACAGGCGGCGGCTCCGGAATCGGCCTAATGGCAGCGCAAGCTCTCGCCGTGAACGGTGCCAAAGTATACATAACGGGCCGCACAGAAGAGAAACTCGACCGGGTCGCCTCTCTCTACGGCAATAACACAAGCGGCAAAATCATCCCTCTCCCAGCGGACGTCACCAACAAAGACGAGATTCGCCGACTCGTCTCGGAGATCACCACACGCGAAGGACACCTCTCAATCCTAATGAACAATGCCGGAATATCTAGCAAAACGCAAGAAACCGAGCCGGAAGACGCATCAAAGCTCCAGACATCCCTCTTCGACGACCCGGGTGCCACCTTCGAGGAATGGGACTCGGTGTTCCGCACCAACGTCTCGCAGATCTTCTTCATGACAACCGCGTTCCTGCCGTTGCTGCAGCGTGGATCGGAGGTTGAGCATGGTTGGTCTAGCACTGTGATCAATACATCTTCCATCTCCGGTATTGTGAAGGTCTCGCAGCATCATTTCGCGTACAATGCTTCCAAGGCGGCGACGATCCATTTGACTAAGATGCTTGCGCATGAGATTAGCTCGTCCGACCTGCGGGTTCGTGTTAATAACATTGCTCCTGGGGTCTTCCCTAGTGAGATGACTGCTGGAGAGAGTGATAATGGGCAGAAGAGTTTCATTCCGGCTGAAAAGTATCGGGAGAAGGTTCCTGCTTCTCGGCCTGGCAAGGATGAGGATATGGGCAATGCTGTGCTGTTTGCTGCTACTAATCAGTACTTGAACGGACAAACTGTTGTTGTTGATGGGGGTTATGTTCTTGCTGCTGGGTCTTTGTGAGGAGTAATAATTGTGTATAACAAATTTGATATCTGAGGGTATATGCAAGCACGCTAAGAACATAATCAAAATGACAGCTTCGTTTTAAGCCTCAATCAGGCGTGGACCAATGTGTGTGATATAGGTAGCTTCAAGCTGTAGGGAATACCGAAATTCTAGCCTTCAGTATCCATTTTCCCCGGCTTCGCAAACCACCACACTACTTATCCATTCTGATCGCAGCAACGTCGCAGTTGTAATACGTTTCCAAGAATAGGGATGCAGCATTGCATATATAGCGTTGCGTCGTCTCTAGATACCATCTATCAGTGACTTGTCTTCCGGGCCCAAAAGATATAATATGACGTACCTGCCCCAAAGTCTCAATTGGCGGGTATCCATCCACTCCAGTCCGAGCATCAAGGTAATCCAGATAACGCGAATCCTCATGATTGGGACGCGCACTGCGCCATAACATCCGGTCTGTGATGAGCGCCATATAAAGCATAGCAGAGGCCCAAACATCCGCAGGACGAGAATCACACTCATCAACATCATCTTGTCTATCATCACGATGCATGTGGGATTGGAAATGAAGTTTGAATTCTTCCGGAGGTATATAAGGGAGTCTCATACCCACGAATGAAGCGGTGGGCGAATTCGCAATGACAGGCTTACTGTCACTGCCAGACTCCGAACTTTGGCGACACAAGGAATTCAACGGCCACGGTAGTGTGAACGACCATGAAGATTGTGCAGGCCGGGGCCGCGGGGGAAGCATTCCTTTCCCACCGCTGGTCTCCTCCCATATTCGTCGGATATGTCCGTCGCCAAACCCAGCGAGCTTTACGGCTCCGCTGGCAGTGAGGAGGACTGTCTCGAGACGGACGTCGCGGTGTGCCAGACTATGGTCGTGTAGGTAGGCAAGGGCGCGCAGGAGCTGGGTTATTATACAGTCTGCTTCTTGGATTGGGAGGGCGCCTTTGCGGGATAAGAGGGTGTTTAGGTCGCCGCCAGCGCAGTAGGGCATGACTAGACAGAGCTCGTCGCGTTCGTTGTGGAGAATGTCTAGGATTGGGAGGATGTTTGGGTGGTTTGGATGGAGGGCTGTTGCATGGGGAGAGCTTTGGGGACCTCTCAGGATGGAGCGTCTGTAGACTTTGATTGCGACGAGTTGGTTATCCCTTTGTTTGTCGGCTTTGGTTTCGTGAAGACGGGTTGTGCTGTTGGAGCCATAGTGTACCATCTGGCGGTAACGGCCATATTTGTCTATGAAAGAGAGATGTGGTGATGGGAATGTATATGATTGAGTAGATATTGATGGTGCTGAATCTCGACATAACAAGGGCTGCTGCTCTGTTGGGACTGAATTCAACAGGGGTAGATTGCTACTCTTGGTACCATTGGACAGGTGGTGTTCAGCTGAGAGGTTGCCTCGTATCAAGGTGTGGCGATGATCGGCAGTCTTGTGAGAACGCATGGCTAACATTGTATAGGTGTGGTTTTTCTCCCTTCGCGTATGCTAGGCGGTTATGGCGTGGGAGAACACAAAAACATTGAATAGAGGGAAACATTCTTCTTTCCACGAGGCATTAATACAATGCCCTTTTATAAACCGGGATTAGAGTCAATTCCTTCCCTACAGATCTGGTGAAAAAGGACACGGGAAATGGCTTGTCCAACTCGAAATGTCTACATAGAGCTCATCAGATTTCACGAGTCAATTCTCCGGGAATATTCTGCGATTGGACGGGACAAACAACTCATTTAAAGAGTAATTTAAATTTTACCTAATCCTTTGAAGCCGCTCTTAGCGAAAGTGCAAGAAAAATTTGAATGCGGAAGCCTGCAATATGGAGTTGAATTGGGGTTGTTGTGAGGTCTTGAGTGAATCGGGAAGTGAATCGGTGGAGAGGAAAAATCCCTCAATGGTCAGGAAATAACACCTCAACTTGTGGCTGTGTACACTTTTTTCTTTTTTTCACTGGACTTTGCCTTATTTAGGAAATCTGCGGCATTTGTTCTTATCTGTTACAAGAAATCTCTTTTAATATAAGAAACTTGGAAGCTTTGTAGCTAAGAAGAAAAAAGTTAGGGCTGAGTATTGTATTGTCACAATTCTGGAGGTGCTGATTAATAATTGGTTCAAAGTAACTGTTTCAGAGTAATATTACGTCACAATATGTATATGTAATATACATAATCTCCATAGCCTTGGGAGCACATGTCTGTAGTGGTAACTATAAGCTTGAAAAGTACTAAGCTTATGGTACCTGGTTTGATATATGAATATCCACAGTTAAACAAGTACCTCGTTAAAGTATCATTTTCTGTGGGCCCTCTATTAGTATGGATCTAATGGATCTACTCCGTATGGATGTTATTTTTTTCTTTATTCCCTCAGGTCCATTCGTCTTTTCCCAGATCGGCAGTTCCCTCGATTTCGCGTGGCTCTCTACGTGGCTCTGCGTGATACATTTCTTGCATCAGGGAGAACCTTCCCAATTCATACTATAAGCTTAACCAGCTTGGGTTAAGGCAAATCGAATTCGTAAACCCTGGTTCTCTATATAAAAGGCTGATGGTCGCACACTTTTACTCTTCTATCTTTCTCTGACACCTCAGATATCCTTCCAAAGTCTACTCTTGCGGTATTCTCTAGGGCTCTTGCAGTGTACTTATATAGTCTCTGCCTTCCCTCAATTCTTTACTCTTCCCTCCAATCCTCTCTTATATACCCTCTTCCATGAATCCAGAAAAGAAGGACGTCGACGTCGAGTCGGAGGGCGATAAGCTCAAAGATGATGATCGTACTGGACGCTCCACGAAGATCACCTTCGAGCAGGGCTCCACCGCAGAGGGAGCTCGGTCGATCTATCAGCCGACTCAGGTCACTCGGCCTCGCTCACTGAGCCGTGATACCATTCGCAGCACCAGAAGCAGTATGCAGGGAAATGCTGAACTGCCAATTGAGTTCCGAACCCTTGCCATTCAGATTTCCGAATCCCAGAACGCCCCCAAGGAGGCCATTGTCGACCCACCAAAGGAGAAGCAGCCCCACCAAGACTACTTCGAGAGCTTGGACTACCACATCATCTCCACCGACAAGCTATGTCAAGAGTTCAATGTTGATCAGCGTACTGGTCTGAGCTCGTCCGCTGCAGCCGTACGTTTGCAGCGAGATGGCAAAAATGTCATCGCCCACCACAAGGAGAATTACCTCAAGAAGATCTTCTGGTATGTCTTTGGTGGATTCTGTTCGGTTCTTTGGGTTGGAGTCGTCATCTTCTTCATTTGCTGGAAGCCCCTCAGTGACCCCCCCTCGCCTCAAAACCTTGCCATGGCTGTCCTCATTCTCATCGTCATTGCTTTGCAAGCAAGCTTCTCAGCTTTCCAAGATTGGTCCACTGCGCGTGTCATGAACTCCATCCTAGATCTTCTCCCCGCAGAAGCCATGGTGATGCGTGATGGGAAACTCATTCACCTCCCTGCCTCGGATCTGGTTGCTGGTGACATCGTTCAGATTGCAATTGGAAACAAGGTCCCAGCCGACATGCGTCTCTTGACCAGCTCGGGCGATGTTCGCTTCGATCGTGCTATTCTAACAGGTGAGTCGGACGAGATTGAAGGTGCCATTGATTGCACCGAGAACAACTTTTTGGAGACTCGCAACATTGCCCTCATGGGAACCGGTGTCACTAATGGCAATGCTGTTGGCGTTGTCGTTCTGACCGGCTCCAACACCGTTATGGGCCGTATTGCGTCCATGACAGCTGGAGTCAAGCAAAAGAAAACCTTGATTCAACGTGAGATCAATCGCTTCGTCACAATTATTGTCGTTCTTACAGTCTTCTTGGCTTTGCTCATTCTATTCACCTGGCTGGGATGGCTGCACAAGGATCACCCTAGTTACATGAGTGTTGTGGCCATGCTGAACAATGTCATGGGATGTATTGTTGCCTTCATTCCCGAAGGTGTGCCTGTCGCCGTCGCCTTGACCCTCATGATGATTGCCAAGCGGATGAAGAAGACCAACATTTTGCCCAAGGGACTGGCAACCGTGGAGACTCTGGGCTGTGTGAATGTACTCTGCTCTGATAAGACCGGCACTCTCACCCAAAACCGTATGTTTGTCAAGTCACTCGGAATGGTCGACTGGGAATATAGCCTCGACGATTTAACTCCTGGAGAGTTCGGAGCTGTTGATCTTCCCGAAGGCCTACGAAATATGCTCCGAGCATCTGTTTTGTGCAATGATGCTGTCTTCGACCCAACTACGATCAATCTACCCGTTCATGAGCGTACTGTCAATGGCAATGCTACTGATGCTGCAGTTTTGAGATTTGGTGACAGTGTTGGATTGACCAACCCGACTGCCCTGGCTCCATATGAACGTGTGCACCAGATCCCCTTCAACTCGAAGAACAAGTGGATGCTTACCCTGCACCGTGATCCCAAATCTACCAAGGAGTTCATTATCTACGTTAAGGGAGCACCAGATGTGCTCTTGGATCGTTGCGCTACCTACTGGTCTGCTACTCACGATGCGATCCGTCCACTAGATACCACAGCGCGCGAAAAATTCTCGAATTACCAGGCCAAGCTATCACGCCGCGCAGAGCGCGTCATTGTCATCTGCCAACGTCGCTACATCCCACAGTCTGCCCCTGGATCAAATGATTTCACCAATGAGATGATCGAGAACGGTGTACAGGATCTCACAGTCCTCGGCATCTTCGGTATTGTCGATCCCCCACGCCCCGAGACGGCCTCAACTGTTGCAGCTTGCCGCAGGGCCGGTATCCGTTTCTTCATGGTTACCGGTGACTTCGGATTGACCGCGGCTGCCATCGCTCAAGAGATTGGAATCTATGACGGAGAAGCCGTGCCTGATACCATCGATGATCTCAAGGATGGCCTGGATCCAACAATGGAAACCAAAGTCCCCCGTTCACGACACAGCCTACTTCTCGAAGGACCTAGCCTGTCATCGCTGGGTACGGACGACTGGGAAACAGTCTGCGGCTACGAAGAGATTGTTTTCGCTCGCACCACCCCTGAGCAGAAACTCCGCATTGTGTCAGAACTCCAGGCTCGTGGCTACGTCGTTGCTGTGACAGGTGATGGTGTCAATGATGCTCCAGCTCTTCGTGCAGCAGATGTCGGTATAGCAGTCGGATCTGGCAGTGATGTTGCCATTGAGGCAGCTGATCTCGTACTCTTGGACAAGTTCGACTCTATCATTGAGGCTATTCGTCTTGGTCGCTTGGTCTTCCAGAATCTGCAGAAGGTTATCGCCTACCTACTCCCAGCAGGTAGTTGGTCCGAAATCTGGCCCGTCATCATGAACGTCTTCTTCGGCTGCCCTGCTCCCCTCAGTACCTTCCTCATGATCATTGTCTGTGTGTTCACCGATCTGTTCGTTTCTCTCGCCCTCATCATGGAGAAAGAAGAGTTCGACCTCCTCAGCCTGCCCCCTCGCCGTCCCACCAAGGACCACCTCATCAACCTCCGCATCTACGGCCAGTCGTACCTGTTCGTCGGTGTGATGGAAACCTTCAGTGCCCACGCCATGTTCTTCTTCTACATGTGGCGCCACGCCGGTATCTCCTTCTCCGACCTCATCTTCGCGTTCGAGAGCTACGGCGAGGGCTTCCACGGATACACCGCAGACGAGCTGAATCACTTTGTCGCCGTCGGCCAGTCTGTCTACTTCGTGACCCTGGTCATCATGCAATGGGGCAATGTCTTGTCAGTCCGCAGCAAGCGCATGTCCCTTCTTCAGGCCGATCCCATCCGTCCAGCCCGTCGCAACGTGTGGCTTCCTCTGTCCATCATCATTTCCCTGATCATCGCCATCTTCGTCACTGAAGTCCCCGGCATCCAGAGCATCTTCGGTACCGCCTCAGTCCCCATCATGTTCTGGTGCATCCCACTTGGTCTTGGAATGGGTGTCCTTTGTATGGATGAACTGCGCAAGCTGCTTGTCCGAGCCTTCCCCAAGGGCCCTATTGCCCGGATCTCGTGGTAAAGACACTTTGGAAATGATCGCCCATGAAAATATACCCACTGAAAGAAATCCCCGAACATGTGTTGCATGCTGCTTTGTTTAATCATTTATATGCCATATTTCAATGTTAATAGCTTGTTACGATAATTTTATAGCTTTACTGGACATAGTTACCAATAAAAAGAATGTTATATATGACCCATATCTTCGTTCTCTATGTATCTCTTCAGAGCCATAGCTCTCCCCCTTCCAAGCTTTGTTCTTGAGGAAATATTCACGTAGAAGTCGTGAGAGTCGGCTTTCAGAATACCAACACTACTCCCTCTAACTATGCAACAGTATATTTTCTAGTAAACACAATCTAAGATTGAGAAAGACCTGGATTGCTTGTAATACCACTAAACAAGTACGTACCAATGAAAACAGCGATGCATCAGGGCATGAAAGTCAGGAGGGCTAGAAATACAAGATGGAGAAGTAGCGGAAGGAAAAAGCAGGAAGTGAAAAAAAGACCAATCAATGAGCTAAGAATACTGGAGTCCCTGGGTGGGGAAAAAAGAAAATGTAACCAGAGAGAGAAACGAGTGGTTCTCAGTCCAAATATAGACGAATGCAGAAGACGGCTGTGCAGCGAGTGACATATGTGTATACGGGGCTGAAAGTAGATAGTATGGCAAGACAGATTGGCCAGGCTGTGATGTCGTGCTAGGCATTCTTTGGGATAGAGAGTGGATATCCCGATTGATGAGGTATCGTAGGGATGAAGTATGACAAGGAGGGAAGCGGAGAAAACAAGCCTATGAAACTGGTTGGCGCACCTTCCCAGCCTCGCGAACGGCATCCATAAATCCATCTTCGTTACCCGCAGCAGTAAGAACCCAATAATCAGCAATACCGGGGTTCTGGATCTGCCCACCGCCAAAGCCAGCTGCGGCAGGGGCGCTGTGCCGATCTTTGGGTTTCTGGGTGTTCGTTCCGAGATTGCGGGGACCCCAGCCTAGCACGTCGCGCACAGCAAGACGGGACTGGTCATCATTCTGGTGGAAGGAGAATAGCTGGGCCTGGAGACAGCCCAGAATGGCAACGGCGGATCGGATCATGATACGATCACCCTCGAAGACCCAGCAGTCCCAGACGCGGGAGATGCGCTCGAGGTCCAGGCCGTTGGTCAGCAGCGAGCGGAAGATCGGCTCCCAGATCTCTGCTTCAGAGAGGTGGAGGGTTTCGGCCAGATGAGCGTGTAGACGGGGGAACTTGTAACGCAAGGTGTCTGTGGCCAGTGTATAGGAGCGGGCCATGGCGCCACGGTCCCAAGTGAGGAACGCGACGGGTAAAGGACGATTGAGGGCGTTGGCCATTGCGAGGAAGGCGGAAGCAGGAGTAGGGAATTGCAGAACGAGAAGGCCGGCGATGGTGTGCAGGCCGTGAATGTAGCCTACGTCATTGCGGTACATGCAGTATGCCTGTAGGACGTCGATGAGGGTTTCCCGTAGTGGACCGCCTTCTTGGAAGAGGTTTAGATCTGGGAAGGCCTTCGGCACGTCGGTTTCGATCGCCTCAAAGCAATCCAGTAGCCTTTTGTTGTTCTCGCTTTCTGCATCCTTCTTACTTTGGAGATCCTTTGCTCGGCGTAGCGCCTTGGTAAAGGTTTCCTCTGTTAATGCTAGTTCGTTGCCAATCGCTTTTTTCCATATGTTACCACGATTGCGAGGGGGAATTCCACGCCACCATAGCTCGCGAATCCGGGGCTCGCGGAGAGCGCGGTCCCAATTCGGGTACACATATTCATCCCAGATGTTCTGCAGCGTTACTCGGGTGTTGTCCTTTTCACACTGTGCATTTGCATCCTTGGCAGCTTTGCGTTTCTCTGAGATCCCAATTAGGAGGCCGACAATACTTCAAGGATCTTCTCTTAGCACATACCGATTTCTCGAGACTGGGCCATCATTTGCTGATACTGCCTCAGGTGTCTTTTCTCCTCCTTCTGGTCCTTAGGTGGAAGCCAGCTTGGGCGTGTCCGCGTCAGAACCTTTTCTTTCTCCTTGCTAATTGGCAGCGGATCGATCATGATATTTGATTTCTGCAGGGGTGGTAAAAGGGTAGCATCACGGGATGCGCGATGGGAGTCCTCGCTAGACTTCCGTGGAGCACCGGTTTGAATATTCTCCTCCCGTTTGCGATCTCTATCATCAGCATGCAGCTCCAGAGCTTCAGTGATGATCTTTGCCTCCTCGGACAGGTCAGATAGAAAACTATTGTAGGAGTAGGTGCGAGGATTGCGTGGCGAAAGTTGTCCACGCTCCGGTCCTGCGGAGCTTGATCGCTGTATACGCTTCATGCGGGATGCCTTGGCCGTGTTTTCGGGTGACGCTGGCTTACTGGTTTCCGCTACGGTATGCTGGATAGGCAGTGGTCGTCTCCCGGGACTGCGACCACCCCCAGGGCTGCGGCCATTCGGACTGTCCGGCCGTGATGGAGACCGATCTTGAACTGGGCGTGGAGAGATAGGGATGTTCCAAAGACTTGCATCGTCCGGTAGTTCATCGTCCGAGTCGTGGTATTCTTCCTCCAGATCCTTAAGTGATTTGCGATTCGGTTGCCAGGTTTGTTTCTGTATGGGCACTCGTGCGGATAGCGGAGACAGAGCTAGGCTGGTGCTGCTCGAGGTGGAGCGGCTGGATGTCGGCCGTAGTGGTGAGACAGATCGTGAACGGCGAGGTTGCGATGGTGCCAGACCGGGTGACTGCAGTGTATTGCCCGAAACTCTCCGGTTTCCAGTTCTCACTGCGAGTGAGCTTGTCAATTGAGGGGCCTTGACCGATCCACTCTGAATCGGCGGTAGGGGGCTTCTGCGAGGTTTCGGAGTAGCGGTCAAGTCGCGAGTTGAGGCCGCAGGGACTTTGCTTGATATTCTAGCGGCGGGCGACCGTGCCATTACCCCAGCGCGGCCGTACGATCCTGTCTGATCGGCATATGACAAATCAGCGTCATCTTCCAAGCCAATGTCTTCGAAATTCGAGATGTCGGTAAAGATACTGTCCGGACCGTCTGGGTGAGAGGAGGAATGAAACGAGGAGGATTTGGAGGATTTGGACCCGGAGAGCTCGGGGGGAGAATTAGGTGTCGGGCAAATGGTAGTCATGGTCTCATGCAATTATTCAGACTTATTGATCCCCCACAGTTCTGATCTACCCGGGGGAAAAAACGGCGAGGAAATCGACGAGATGGTCGGAAGTCGAAAATGAACGCGAGAACCGGGGTTGAAGAGTGACCGAGGGTCAAAGAGGAACAATAACACCGCAATAGAAGTCAATTAATGTAGAAATGAATTGCAGGCACAGCCGCAGCCTGATGAGATCCAGATCAGGTGTAGTCGTGTAAATAGGGATGAGAGGATATTACGGGGTGACCATCGGGGGCCAAGGGAGAAGAGCGTAAACAAAAAAAAGGGGAGAAATGAATGTGGGGGAAAAAGTAAACAGAGAAGAAGGAGAAGATTCAAACGAGAGACAAGAGAGAAATCCAAAAGAGAGTGAAAAGAAGAAATGGTGATGCTGAAGTCTGCAAGCGGAAGCCTCAGGCCGCATCGGTCTGGCCGAGAACAGGGGGGTACCTCGGTGATACCTTGTACCACTAGTTCAAAAAGGGGGATAAAGAAGTACCAAGCAAGTATTAGAGTACATTTCTGGAGAAAACCGATCTCCCAGATGGGAAGGGATATACCTACACAGCCCTTGGGTCTCTGAACAATATCTTGTAAACCCCTGAACCATGACCTCTTTTCGGATTCAGTCGGATTTGTACTGTGTAAATAAGATGTGGCACAGTATGCAATATTTAATTGGCTCCATACAACTGTACAAATTTAGTAATTGGTACAATTACACTTAATTGGAAACATTCCAAGCACTCCATATTCTAGAAGCGCCATTCCTCAAACATTGCGTTTCCCCTTTTCACCACCTGCGTCATCCTTAAAGCCTCGGAATCTGACATAGGTCGAGCATCTTTGATCAGCGAGTCTAACCAGCGTAGCACCACTGAATACCGCGTTTGCTTGCGCTTCAAAACAAATCGAAACGCCGCAGAAGCTAGGTACTGAAGGTGTGATCGCTGGACAAAACACGAGAATGAAGACTCTGAATTACCAGCACGCCGGGCCTGAATCGTGTCAGCCGTCTGCGAAATTAGATCGCGAATGGTCTGTGTTATGATGGCAGGGCCGGGGTGCGCACGGCCCCGAAGGGACTTCATATAGCGATACATCTTCATGGCAGAAGTGATGAAGCTGCAGTAGAGGTTGGCCAGAACAACTGAGCGCGAATTATGCTCGTCATCGATGTACATGGGATGTAGCTGCAGGCGGAATGAAGAAAGCACTTTCCGGTAAAATGTGCGGCCCGGGAGGCGAGTGGCCTCGACGGTTAAGGTGTTGGAGAGTGTAGCAGCAGCTGATTCGCCCCCTTCTAGTATGCGGTCGCGATCGCGGTGGAATTCAAGCGTATGGGTGTCGATGAGACTACCACAATACGGGAATAATGGGCCCGCTTCAAGTCTGGGGAGCAAAATGCCATCAACCGCTGCGCTGAAATTGGCCATGCTTTTGGCTGGATTGACTTGCACACCGTACAATGGTTGACCCCGAATCATTACTTCCAGGAACTGCATTGCCACGGCTACATCCGGCGTGATCAGGAGAAAGTCGTCCACGAGTCGAAGGAGTAGAGAATCCTCGGGTTTGATAAAACCCAGTACCTTTCGCTCCAGCTCGGCGTAGAAGAAATTGCAAAGGATGCTGGATAGCACGGAGCCTTGAGGAATGCCGTTGCGTTGGCGGAAATATTTCTTGCCAATCTTCACGAGGTTGTTCCGGACATGTTCGTCGAGGAGTTCTAAAAGACTATCAGCGTCACGTTCTTGTGGTACTTGATTGTCAACAAAAACAGTGTTGGCCTTTCGCGCCGCGCCTCCGCTATTGACGAAATCAGGTAAACGTTGCGGTCTCATTGCAGGCGCAGCACGGCTCCTATATCTTCGTGTGGGTTTTTCTTGTTGCGCAGTAGGAGCAGGTGGTTGGAATTCCATGTACTTTGAGATACGGTAGCTCTCTTCAGAGACCAGGTCTTCGATAAGATCGAGCAACCTTTTCTGGGGGATAGTATCAAAACAAGCTTTGATGTCAAGCTTGACAAAGTACATCGGCGGGAGCTTGGTTCTCCAGGGTTTAGAGACCAAGGGCAGCCGTTTGGACAGCTGTTGTTTGTACGCCTTCAATCGGCGGTGCATGTCTCCAACGGAAAGCATTGACGAGCCCAACTTAGCTGGCGCTTTCTGGCGCTCGTATGTCAACATGCTATAGATAGGTGTGATACTTGAATTGATACTGGCAGTACGGTACATGCCCCGGTTCCATGTCGATTTCTTCCAGAGTTGTTTGCGAAGATTCAATATGGGCCGGAGGCCTGTAGATTTGGGAAGCAAACGGAGAGCTCCGAAACCAATAGACCGCCGCGCCAGCACGCGTTGGGCCTGGTCTGGCTCGAGCTCCTCAAACATCGTTGCTTTCAAGTCACCGAAAGGTTGCTGGGTCAAATGCTGCCACAGATCATGGCGGAAATAGAAAAGCCTGTTTCGGTGCGTTTGAGATTCGGTGACATAGAAGTGCGAACGAATAAGAGGAATAAGAATTGAATCGAAAATCCAAAACATGAATTCATGGAGTAGTTCAGTGCGTTTGTGTAGGTCAGACAGGGCAATCTTCGATCTTGTTTCAGATGGTGAAGTAGTCTGGACCTGAGCTGGCTCCAGCCAAGGAATGCTTGTTATCTGTGTGAATCAGTACGGCTTTGTCTCAGACGATCAGTTTCAGTACTAACCTTGACACCTTTGCATACTTCGTGCAGACTAAGACTTTCGAATCGGCGCAATTTGATAAATCGGTCAACATGTCTTAGGACAAGCTTAAAGTTCGAAATGCCATCCGGACCAACCCCCCAAAACTGTCGGGGGATCAATTTCTGGATCACCGCCCGACAAAATGCTGAGACAGAAGACGCCGGAGTCGCATAATCGGTTAGACTGACTTGAGTTTTTCGAATCACCGGTTGATTGGCATCGATTTCAGATGGGTCGGCAACGATATGCGGATCTGATCCGGAGACATCGCCTAAGGTCTGCGCCGATCTATCGCTTGACGACGGGCGGTTTATTTGCACCTGTGTTACTAAATTTGACTGGAGAGAGGAGATAGGCTCTCTTTTTTCGGCATCAGGTGTGGAAGTAACAGCGAATGCGCCAAGTCTCCTGGGCCCAGTTTGCTGCAAAATGTCAGCTACACAACCCTAGCCATCGTAAACGAAAGTGTCTCACTTCGGTCGGACAATAGTATCGCAGCAACTGTCCGTAAGAGCATTGTGCGTTGCACTTCCGGAGCTTCCAGACAAGCTCTATGGTGATTCCACGAAGCCTCTTAGGTACCTTGACATTTCCCAAGCTGCCACAATCTGCGTCTGTGAATTGATTACCAAGCTGGGGCCGCTGTAGTCGTTTCTCTTCTTCCAAACGAGATATCTCACTCTCACGAAACATGAAACTCTTCGAGGCATCCATTTTTTCGCGTGCATCCGGGCTCAAAGTGAAGACATTCAGCAGTCCAAATTGCCGGGGAAATATGTACTTCATTACATGGACTGTTTGCGCTATCGAATCAAGCGAAGAGAAGCGGCTAAGAACATCTAGAGCGGGTATTAGCATAACCCTAGAATGCGGTATCCAAAAGACGAAGCACGTACGTGTCTGTCCTAGTCCAGAGGATACTTCCTTTTTGGACTCGGCACGTCCATAGAGAATACGCCGTCGTAGAAACACAATGCTGTTTGGAGTTTGGAGTGTCTTATCGGAATTCTGTTTGCGTTCGGCTTTCTTTTTGGGATGTGTCTGATCACTGATAGGCGTTGGGCCTTGTGCTGTGGCAGCACACCTATTGTCTCCCAGGGAATCACTCAAAGGCTCAAGATCCGAGAGCGGTAAACCTAAAAAATCATTAGCACATTACGGCCAATCTCTCTCTCTCTTCACACTTTGACAAATCATACCGCTGAGTTGGTAGTATATACCCCTTTGAGCATCGATAGCGGCAAAAATTCCGCAATCGAACAGGAGCTGCATCATAATATCTTCCCCATTACTACCAAGCAAGCCAAGGACCTCTGCCCATGCACCCCTGGTGAGAACCTCGACATTTTGATTCCGAAATTGAGACACAATTCCTGGAATACTAGTAGCTTGGGCACTCCGTCCGATAGACTGGCGTTGGAAGCCATACGTCAACAAATGCTGGTGCTTTTGGTAGGGGCCATTGTTGTGATTGAATAGTTTCCAGATCACAAAATCAACCACCTGAAACAAGGGTCAGTAGTCTGGTACCTAAAAATGATTCGGCTACCGTGGACGCACCTCAGACTGTGGAGAGGTTGGTCCCGTATCGGTGCTGGTGAGAATCGATCGTGATTGAGACTCATTAAAAGATGAGTATTCCCTATGTCGCTCCGAATTGAGGGTCTCAGAAGACTCCTTCAACACACCCACCAGGGTGGAGTCTAGCAATTCCGCCAATGTTTCGGATTGTGCATTGGAGTCTTGGTCTTCACGCGAGTCCAATGTCAGGATGCGGCGCCGACGCGATTTGGAGGTCACGGGAAGTTGCTGGAGCAGGTACTCCCGCAAGGGTACGACATGTCGGTAGTACAGGGAGATAACGGGATGGCTTGTTTTTGTTTCCAGGGAAATTGGGCCATGGGGGTTTCTGAAACGGCCGGGAGATGTGGTGATACCAATGTGAGACGAGGACGTGGGACCGCGGTCCTTGATGGGTCTTTTCCGCTTCTTGCCCATGCTGGACTATTAGATAATTTCTTTTTCAGGACCCTTGTGGTTTTCCCAGATGGTTTACTCCATTGCAATAGGGTTAAATGAGTTCCCAATGACACGCGACGCGTCAAGGTTCGGCAAACAAGGGCGAATATATTCTCGCCTTTTGCCAATTTGGGCACCTTGCTAATATCAGTACTTTTGTATGTTGTACTCTTTATTGTTGAAGATGTGTGTATATATCTAGAAGGGACGAGTTGAAAACACGTGAAATTCAGGAACTCACCAATCAACGCTACCAATTAAACAACAAATTGAACCATGGAACCAGACGGTCTAGATACTTGGCCATTGCGTCTCCACTGCGTCATCCATGGGTCAGGGGATCAAATCTCGTTCCTGGAGATGTCGAGGTACAATAACTTCAATTTACAGTATTGTATTGTATATAGAAGTATTTCACTATCTATATCGTATATAAAAAATACTTACAACTTTGAATATTTATGTGAAATTACAGATGTATCATTTTTACCATTTAATAGGATCCATGGATCTATCTCCCTAACAATGAAGACAAAAGAAATCCACTTCCATCAGTTTCACTTTAAGCATTTCCTATCTAATTTCTCTCTTCTCTCTCTTCTTTATGTCCCAAATATTTTCCTCGATCTCACAACTCTTCCTGCACAAAAATATTGTTCAAAAAAAGATCGACACTGTAACTTCAACTTATTGTCCCTAGTGTATGTCAGCCCGATCAAAACGGATTGGCCCGGAGAGCTAACAAACTGGCCCACCGCCAGGATTCACTTTCAAACCCCTCAACTACTAGGTTCTATCACCTATCAGCGTCCACTGTTCATAGACAAAACACCAGTTTTGAGCTCGACCCTCTTATTCGCCCTTCCCCTCGCTACAGTGTAATCTCGGCAAGCGGCCGATCCTCGATCTCACCATTCTACCATTCTCCGATTCCCCCGATCCGAACTCCAAACCTTTTCGATTTAGGTTCGACGGGGGACATACCTAGGTATCCCCTCGATATCGGTTTATTTTTATTTTTATTTTTATGTGTCTCAAAAACATGAATGTTGAATGGGTGGACGCCACCCGAGAGGATTGCTTTGTAGCCTGAATCGACTCACCTGCGACATTCCCGTTGGGCGACCATCCCGGAACAACGCACCAACTCAACCCGTCCAGAACCGAAAGGCCGCGACCAGTCCACGTCGACCTGTCGGCCTGAAGCATGCAAGATGTCTGGCGGTGACGAGCAGGGTTTTGATGTCCGGTATCGCGAGCCGCCGCTGTTTGGGCGACAATCGTCGGCCCCGGCATTTGGCCAATCTGCCAATGATCACACTACCACTTCTTTAGACTCGCCGACCGACTCTTTCTCCTCCCAGGTACAATCATCGACCACGTATTTTCCACAACTGTCGGGCTCCATTCGACCCCATAATTCTTCCACTTCCACGAATCACCTGTCGGTTGATCAATTGCAAGATAGTAGAGGGCGGGAGTCTCCAGACCCTGCTGACTATTATCGCCAGCGTGGATCCCTGTCAGGGACTTCGTCCAATGTAAGAGAAGGGTTCGGCGATGTAATAACGGGCATGGCTGCGGCCGACTATCCTGCAGTCGGTGACAAAGTGTCACCCCTGCCAACAAACATGTTGGAGTCATCGCGCGCTAGACGTCAACCATATCGCTCAACCTCAGATTCTCCAACATTAGGAGCTCCCTCTACCAATATACCCCCGTTGCACACGAATCCAAGGTCACGACAGCCGTCATTCAAAGATCTTGTCAACAAGTTCAATAAAACCTCCGATCAGATCCTCCCTTTGCCATCTATTTCTCGTCCAACCTCAAGGGCACCAAGCCCTTCCGGAAGTGTTGACGGAGAGCGAAATCGGGTGTTGCCACGAAGTCGTCAGTATCGTGATTCCCTACCAGAATCGGCCACCTGCGATCCTCGACCGATAGTTGATTCGACCCCATCGTCACCAGAGGTAGAGAGATTCGGCCCACCCCTAGACACAAACGGTGTTATCCCGCCACCTCTGTTTCAACGGACCCCAGGGTCGCATCCTCGCCGGCCATTGTTTGGTGAACTGTTGCCGATAAACACACAGGTTCACAACGGAGTTTTATCGCGTCTGCAACAACGCCGCGGGTCGGATGGAAGTATTCCAAGCCCAAACCCAGCCTTCCTTGAGCATCACGATCAATATCCCGCAAGATCACCACTCACGCCTACTGCATGGTATCTTGGACATACAACTTCTTTGGAGGCCGTCCACGCCGGGATAAATAGCACCGGCAAACATCGCCGAGTTCAAAGTGACTTGGATAAAATAAGAGAACCCCTTGCAGAACCGTGGAATCCTGAAATGGCAGTACCTGCGCCCTTGCGCCGGACCAAGCCCGGCCATGGATCGCCCCCGGACAGTCCAAATTCCAAGTCTCGCATTCCTGTCTTCTCGCACCGTCTCGTCACTGCTTCCGGTCCCGAAAGCTTATCACCATCCTCCAATCCAACATTTAGCAGCCGATCAGCTGCCATTACCTCGCCGCCCAAGGGCAGTAGCCGCCTTCCTATTCCGTCGCCTAAACAAAGTCCTCCCCGCATGCCAGCAGACGATCCCGCTTCGTTCGCGACAACCTCTCGTGGTAGACGGGATCTAACAATTGGCCGAACCCGCAATCAATTATCCGAATCCAGCCGGCGACTTCAGGCCTACATCGCTGAGCCACCGCCTAAAAAGTCGCCTCCGTTGCGCAGTTCACGACCCCGACAACCCGTCTCACATGGTGCCTCAGTCTCCCCACGCTCCAAAATTGGGGATCGAGTTTTGAATTTACAAAAACAAGCCAAGCACAACGACTCGCGGTCTCGTCCTGCACGCAAATTACCTGAATTGGGCAAGGTTGATTTTGATGCTCGCCGCCGGCACATTCAACAGGCAATCAATCGACACTCAGGTAACCCGGGGGTTGAAAAGGATCAGAATGACAGAGGATCGGACACATCAGCTGCTGCAAAGCTTCGTCGTCACGCTTTGGCGCGAGAGCAGAAGACGAATGAAGATCTCAAGCAACCGACGGATGAACCTACAATTACCCCCAACCCGGTCATGACCGCCCCGTCATCCGATGAGATGGTCACGATGGTCAAAGAATTGAATGACTCGGTTGAATATAAGGAAAATAGAGTCCATGTCGTTCCTAGACTGCACCTCAATACTGCCCTCCCGGCATCGGATATAGCAGCGCCCCACACAACAATGGACTCTCCCACTCTCGGCCTCCCACAGGGCGTGAAGCCAACGTTTGTAGATGACGCACAGCCTAGCGTTGATGACACGACACACTCAGCCGCCACATCAGACTCCGGCGATACTCATATCACTACTTTTGATCCGGAGCCGCAGCCGGGGCTACTCCCGGACAATCCCAGCATTTCTCATCGAACTCTTCTGGATCAAATAATGCAAATCCGCGACAGCCCGAGTGACGACTCATGCGACGACGAACCTGATTGCAGTCTTTCAGAGAACGACGACAGAGAGTCCATCCAGATTATGCTTGGAGATACGACCTACTACAATTCGTCTAGTAGCACTAATACTCATGAGGCTGAGCATGCATCAATGAACCAGGCTCAAAAGAAGACTCATTCTCACAATCGATGGAGCATCAGTTCGTGGTCCTCTGTACAAAACCAACATTCCACCTGTGACGAGCAGTGTGACGAGAGTGGAGATGATTCTTTGCTCCAAGGCCGTGAAACTGAACCACCAACTGAAAGTTGTTCAGCTGTCTCAACAAGGCCAGCTTCAATAGCAGACAACGAATCACCAGGTCCAATCCAGGATCACGGCGTAATGGGACCGAACACACTCCGGGCATCTGACCAGTTTCGATCCGAACCCTTCTCTAACCCCCCAAGCTTGGCTAGATTAGGCAAATGGGATTCGAAGCGTGCCACTCAGCTCTATCTGGAGGAGTTGACGCGAGGCAGTAGCCATTACTCCGGCTCAGCAATTCACAACTCGTCTGAGCCCCGATCTCATCCCACCGATACACGTACAGATGGGCAACCCGATAGTTTGACTGACGATTCAGTCCTTATACCACGTGCTTCCGATAGACTCTCACACACAGCTAGTTTGGTTGGGCGTGATGATTGGGAACATGCATCTCCCTCTATCATGGACTGGATGCAGATCGCGGCTGAAGATGATGCTATGACCCCCAACACTGAAACCGATGGCATGCGTACTGAAGGGTTGCTCACACCCCGCGTGGTGCCCTCGGCAGTCCACGACATGGGTGCATCGAGTACAAACAGTGGTCTTGGACTCTCCGTTGGTATTCAAGCTTCCAGCGAACAGACACAGGCTCGTGTTTTCCCTTCGTCGACATTCCCCCCGCCCTCGGCAACTCATCTAATTGATAATGAACCTCTTGGGGGTCAAAATCCGCTTAAGCCATTGGGCCATATTGAACTCGATGACGGCGCACATAATGCTCCTAGAGCTGCGGGACATAGCCCGAGCAGCAGTCAAGACTCTTCTTTCCAAAATTTGGAGTCTATTCAATCTCCTGTAGCCGCTGATTCCTCCGCTACTTCACTTGTTCCGTCCACTGAGCAAACTACTCGCATTGAGCCAAAGGATTCGCCTTCTCCTGAACAACGTCGTCTCAAGAAGCGGCGCCACATAATCAAGGAACTTGTTGATACAGAACACACCTTTGGTCATGACATGATCATCATTGAGGACATCTACAAAAGGACCTCGCTCACGGTATTGGATCCCGATGATGTCAAGGTTCTCTTCGCCAATTCCGATCAAGTCGCGGCCTTCTCCGACAAATTCTTGTATGATCTCAAGCAAGCAGCTCAAAGCATCTACGTCATACCAAAGGCTCTACGGTGGACCAGCAAGCGAAAGCGCAACAACCAGCCTGCAGCTTCTACTACTCCGGAAGCCGATGAAGTAGCCGAGCTTGCGGGAATGTCAGAACTCGAGAAGGATCGCGCGACCTCCGTTGGTCAGATTTTTGTTACCCACATGGCGCAGATGGAAAAGGTGTACACCGACTACCTGAAGAACCACGATGCCGCAAACAAGAAGCTTCAGGTCGTGCAACGTAATCCGAAAGTGGGCTTTTGGCTGAGCGAATGCCAGAAGGGTGCCATGGATCTCACGACAGCCTGGGATTTAGACTCTTTGCTCGTTAAACCAGTGCAAAGAATCCTGAAATATCCTCTTATTCTCCGAGACCTATTAGAGTCTACGCCAAATGACCATCCCGACCGAGCTGCGATTGCCAGTGCTCTGGAAGAGGTCACAAATGTTTCTCATCGTATCAACGAGCTGAAGAAACGAGTAGACCTTGTTGGTCAAGCTGTCGGTCGAAAGCGCAACCAGTCCGATGTGCGTACCGGTCTGTCTAAAGCCTTTGGTCGCCGCACGGAGAAGTTCAGACAGCAAGTCGGCCTCTCCGACTTGTTTGAAGATAAAATCTATGATTCGCTAGCGCAGAAGCTTAGCGACGGTTATTTCCAGTTGCAGGTTGTCATGCGCGACGCTGAGAGTTACACCCGGGATATGCAACTATGTATGAACCAATTCAACGATTATGCCGATTCGATTGAAGGGATTATTAGCATGTCACCATCTCCGTATCCACAGTTGGAGAGCAAGTGGCATCAGTTCAAGGTGACAGTTCAGGAACTTGTGACAACTGCTCTCCCAGAACATGTAAGTTATGTCGTGTCTATAGCTGGAACAAAATGCTAAAGTTTAAACGCAGCTTGCGGTCGTCCGAAAAACGGTCATCGATCCGATGGTTGAATTACTAGGACTTTACAATGCACCCCAGCGAGTCATGCGGAAGCGCGACAAGCGACTCCCGGAATATGCGCGCTACAAGGCCATCAAGGACCGTGGCGACAAACCTGACAAGAAGACTATTGAGCAAGGGGAGCAATTCCTGGCTTTGAACGATACTTTGAAGGATGAGTTGCCTAAGCTCTATGCGTTGACTGCCAAACTGATGGCAGCCTGTCTGAAGAACTTTATCGAAATTCAAACAGTGTGGTTCAGCGTTCTACAGAAAAAGATTGGCGTTCATGTGGAATTGTTCCCCAATGACCTCGACAGGCTTATCAGCGACTTCAATAGTGACCACACTTTAATGGAGGCACGAATTGCGGAGCTAAGCTCTTGCAATGGGGCGATGATGGCTCATTCGCTCAATTTGATCCCACTTTCGCCCAGTGGACAGCAGAACCCCATATCGCCGCGCCGTCCTTCCACAGTGAATAGCTCAAACGCACGACCTGGGTCTATGAACGATGATTCACCCAAGGTTTCCCGGGATTTCAGCGTCGGCAGCCAATCATTCCAGTCCCCCCAGATGGAAAGCCACTCCAGCCGCAGCAGCCGTTACCGGGCTGATTCCACTCTATCTGGCCGAATCGTCCCAGGCACTCCAAATCAACTACTACAGCAAGTCACCAGCTCTCCCGCCCCTGCCAGAACGAGCGACATCGAGCCTTTCCCAAGCCTACCGAGACTCAGCCTAGATACTCCTTTCCTGGAGGATGTGATCAACAGCTCCTCGCACTCGAGCAATGCGCCAGCCTCCCCGACTGATCGATATTCGGGATTCTTCTCGTCCGCCATGCCCATGTCGGATGCGCCAAGTGAAACTGTTGTGGATGGACACTTTGAACGCAGCGCCCCTCCTATGGGTCCTGCGACGTTGTTCTGCGCGGCGAGTGTTTATGACTTTAACATCGACGCTCGCACTGAGGGCGGATATCCCTATCTAACTTACGCCTCCGGCGATATCTTCGACGTCATAGGCGAGAAGGGCGAGCTCTGGCTTGCCCGCAATCAGGACGATGCCACCAGGACAGTTGGGTGGATTTGGAACAAGCATTTTGCCCGACTCAGCACCTGAAACAACAATTTCACACCATGTTTTCGATGTATTCGTCAACTGTTTTTCGAAAATCTACAAGGAAAAGACGAACACAAACAAATAACACTAAGGTTTCATACTAACTGCAGGATCTACAGGATCATATTCCATGTTGCTTTTGCCTGATTCTTTCTTTCTTTCTGATCTGTCTTCATATTTCAAAATAATACCAATATCCCTGGAGACCAGGGGCAAAACGAAAGCTACCACATTGCAATGTTGCTGCTTTGTTGCTTTGACTTGCTTTGATCTTTGGCTTCGGCATCATCTCATGTTGATGACTTATGGTTTTCTTTCCTGTTTATCTCTGTTGCTTTGCTCCCATTCCTGTTCTATTTGATCTTTTATTTTGTGCGTTCCTTTCCTCCCATCTCCGCGCATGTTCTGAACTTCTTCTTCTACTGGAGCTCTGGGATGCACGTTTAGATACCCCTTCTGAATTCAATTCTTTAATAAATTCAAACTTATTCAAAGTATATAATGAATTACCTATAAATATCTTTATCAATTGTAATAGTATCAATATTGAAGTGATCCAATAGCCATCATGTGACCCCACATGTGACGCAGGCTGATCAACCCTTGGCCTGAAGTCCAGTTCTTTTGAGGATTTGTCCCTTGCCTTGTGTTCCAGGTCAGAACTGCCTCTTGTTCCTGTGTCTGATATTGTATCATCCTAACACTCGGTCTAGCCCTCCCCTGCATGGCCACTGCCTAATCTACTTCACTCTCAACCTTGGCATACTCCTCTACTCAGCTATTGTCCATAAAGCACAATTGAAACCAGCATTAGCATTCAAGCCCTTGATCCATCCTCCACTTCTCTTCTCCGCCAGCCATAAGGCTGACGGCCTTCCCCTCCGAAGCGCTCGCCCAATCCCGAGGTCCCGACCGGTCCCACTCCCACTCCGCCAGTGCAGAAACGGGGGAAACATTCGAGCCTCTCGCTCGGGACACTGCCGACGTCTCTTGCCTCCGACCTTGCTCGCCACTGCGAACGGGATTACACATTGCATCGCATTTACATTGCGGGGCGTCACGAGCTCTCTCAAGTTCTGCACAAGGATCCGCCCTGTTTATCAGAACCGCGATTTGTGGGGTTTGTCTTGGCTATCTGAGGAACGTATTGCGCGTTCTCGACTGTGGTGCAGTGTATAGCTTTCCTTGCCACGGCTTTCACGGACATATATTCCATCGGGTTGAAATCGGTTTTGTGATCAACTTCAACACACATATCATATTACCATCATGTTGCGCAAGGTACGCGGGCGGTTTGGCGATAAGGTGAGTTTGGCTCGATTTGGCACTAGCTACACAAGTACTGACGTGCGCAGTTGAACCCAGATGATGCTTTTTTGAGTTGTAAGTGTCTGGAGCAGAACCTGCTATCTTGGTGATCTGGAGATGGTATACTTACAAGTCGTCCTTGGGTGCTCATAGATTACGATGTCCGCTGTATGGAATCAACCCCGAAGCGAAGAGAGGTTCTAGGTGGCTAACGAGCATACAGTGACAAGAGAGGACATGCAAACTCTCAAGAACGACTGGCTCACAGATAATGTGGGTTATAATGGCGAGATAATCCTTCTGGCTGGTGCATATGAGCTAATTTGTCATAGATCATTTCGTTTTGGGAGGAGTAAGTCCCTAGAGTCGGTCTGACATCCTTCAAAGTCCCGAACATGGCACTGATGCCCGACTTTCTTGCTCTAGATATCTCGAACATGAATTCCTTACGCGATACAAATCCTCCAATATCATCCTTCTTCGCCCCAGCATGTCATTCATGATCCTCCAGACCCCCGATCCACGCACCCTCCGCGAAGCACTCCCGGACTTCAGTCGAGCCACCCACGTCTTCCTCCCCATCAACGACTGCCGCAATGTCTCCCAGGCAGAAGGAGGTACACATTGGTCCCTTCTGTTGATCTCGGTCGTCGACCGCATTGCATTCCACTATGACTCGCTCTACCAAGGAAACGTCTGGGAGGCAGACACAGTGACCCGCAAATTCGGATACCTCCTAAACATGCCCATTAGGTTTCTGCATCTGAACGACTCACCCCAGCAAGACGGCGGTAGCGACTGCGGGGTGTACGTGTGTATGAACATGCGGCATCTTCTTATGAAGCGGTTGCTGATGGCGAGCGCACATGAGAAGGTGAGTATGAGTCTCGGAGGGCGCAAGATCGACGCTAGTGGGTCTCGCAAAGAGATGGCCAAGATCATCGAAGGGTTCCGGAAAGAAGGCGAGCGCCGACGATCGTATGTTACCCTTGGTCGACCTAGCTGCACATCTCAGTAGGGGAAACAGAAGCAAGATGCTAATATTGGATTTTCTTTCAGAACAAGCGCCAGCCCTATGGGAAAGAAATCGAGAAGTCCTCCGCGTGTTGATTGATTTATCTTTCCTCGATTATTATTATGAGTTTACGTCTTCTTTATGTCTCCTTGCACACACTAACTCTTTTTCCAAAAGATAAACCTCACAAAAACTTGTGGACATTGCCCTGATGATCGTGTACTTACCAGCGTTGCATTACTTGAATGCGTATCATGAACTGCATACATAATTACCTTCAATTTAAGTTTCACAGCACCAACTATGCCGACAGAAAGTAATATTTCCTAAGGAACAAATAGCTGTAGTATCGGCATTGTACACTTTTATAATATCTGGATGATTTACAGGCAAAGGTAGGAACGGTGGCGGACTAGGCACATCGGTAATAGTGTAACCTCAGGCTGTCACCCTGGTTGTACCAGGTGGCGCCGTTGGAGTAGCCATTTGAATGATGGAGAAGAAGGCCGATGAGCCATAGGTTTTCGTCAACCTGCTTGATAGACTCTTCAATACCGTTTAGAGTCTGATTAGAGTCCTTGGCTTCATTACAGCCCCGTCTGTTTTGTATGTATCGACGAGATTGATGCTCGAAAGTCGGTGTAAGGGTGCTATGTGGCAGGGGTATGTAGAAACCTGTATGGAGTACGGAGTACTCCGTACTCCATACATCATGCTGTAAATACCCATAATCAGTGATTCATCACACTAGACATCGAGTCCCTCTTATGATATATCGAGTAGGGCATGTAAGCTGGTATATACCCCGGGCCCCCGGGTCCGACTTTAATGTACTGTTTCCATAGTTATGCATGTAGTGAGGAAGATGGCCAATTTTACACTGCACATATTCAATAAGAGATTGAGATCAAGACTTATGAACCAAAGAAGGTAAAAAAAAAACAAGTAGAAGTACAATTCTATAAACTTGAGCAGTGTTCCTCCAGGTAGTAGCTCCGTATCTTATCGCCGTGCGGAGCCAAAGTCCAACCACAACGTCAAGTCCCCTCTCCCAAATCCACACCTCTCATCGACTTCCTAGAGCGACTCCAAATCCCAGTCGGGCTGAACCGGGTAGATGCAGCAGAACTCGAGAGGCGACACCGAGCAGAGCGGTAAGCGCCAATCGATCGGCAAGAGGAAGCTTTCTGAAGGAGGTTCGCAGCCGCGATCGCAACAAACCATTTCCGAGCTCCTCTCTCAGAGGTATTCACCAGATCGTAACCTTGATTCAATCCATAAGCGTTCTCGTCTCTCGCCATCTCCCTCACGCCCCTCAATCCAAACGATCCCGCATAAGATGCATCCGATTTCCGGTTCCCCGCCTAAGACCGGCGTGCCTAGTCGGGGAGTGTCTGGACTAAACGGCCCCATCAGACCCCATGGCTTGAATGCAAATGCCCGCCAAAGTAACTTTTCTCCTCATACCGGCGCGAAAAAGCTCGTCGTCAAAAACCTTCGTACCGGACCACGGCTTAACCAGGAATCATATTTTGATAAGGTGTGGTCGCAGTTGGATGCGGCTTTAACCGCTATTTTTGATGGCAGGAAACCGGAGAGCTCGCTGGAAGAGCTATACAAAGGCGGGGAGAATGTGTGCCGCCAGGAGCGGGCAGCGTTGTTGGCTAAGAAGCTTCAGGACCGGTGCAGAGAGTTTGTTAGTGGGAAAATGCGCACGAATCTTGTTACCAGAGCTGGAGGTAGCACTGATGTCGCTTCATTGCGGGCAGTGATCGAGGCATGGTCGGCCTGGCACTCGAAACTAGTATGTGGCAAGGAAACATTTTGAATGGAGTTTATAGCTAACTTTTCTTCTCCCCCAGGTCACTATTCGCTGGATCTTCTATTATCTCGACCAGTCATTCCTCTTGCATTCCAAAGAACAACCGGTGATTCGTGAAATGGGATTGATTCAATTCCGGTCATACATCTTCTCCGATGCCAGTCTGAAGCCCAGGATTTTGAAAGGAGCATATGATTTGATCGAGGCGGATCGAGGCGGATTCACCAAGGCAATGGCAGATTCGAATCTCCTAAGAGAGGCTATGGATGTTTTCCATAGCCTCGATGTTTATGGTAGTGATTTTGAGCCTTTATTCATGGCCAAGTCCGAGGAATTTGTGAAGGAGTGGTCTCAGCAACAAGCAGCAGGATCCCTGGCTACATACGTCGAGAATGCTCACCGGTTGATCGAACGTGAAGTAGAACGATGCGGGCTGTTCTCTTTTAATAGAAGCACAAAGCTCAAACTGTCCGAGCTCTTGGACGAGACTCTAGTTACACAGCGAACAGACGTGTTGACCAACGAAGATGAAGTGCTTGGTTTAATGCGCGCCGGCAATAAGACCGCCTTGAAACAACTATACGGTTTGCTGGACCGGCGAGATCTTACTCTCAAATTGAAACCTGCATTTAGGAAGTACATTGTCGAGGAGGGTGAGAGCATCGTGTTTGATCAAGATAAGGAGGTTGACATGGTTGTTCACCTGCTCCAATTCAAGCAAAAGGTTGATGATATGTTGTCCAATGCTTTCGAGTCGAACGAGGAACTGAGTCACGCGCTTCGCGAGGCCTTTGGAGCCTTTATGAACCGCGGGAAGAAAATGGACTCCACAGGTGGCACTGATAACCCCAAGTCGGGTGAGATGATCGCCAAATACGTGGATAGGTTGCTTAAGGGCGGCTACAAACTGCCACCCGGCCGTAATCCAGAGGAAGTAAGCCTCATGTCTGACGATGCAGAGCTTGACCGACAGCTTGATCAAGTTCTCGACCTCTTCCGGTTCGTACACGGGAAGGCCGTCTTTGAAGCCTTTTACAAGAACGACCTTGCCCGGCGTCTCTTGATGAAACGAAGCGCGAGCAACGATGCGGAAAAGAGCATGTTAACTCGTTTGAAGAACGGTTTGTCGTATCGCAAATCCTACTGTTATGCGCTTTGTCTAATGGTTGATCAGAATGCGGGTCAAGCTTCACTCATAACCTTGAGTCCATGTTCAACGACATGGACACTGCTAACGATGAAATGACGGCCTTCAGACGGTCGCAGCAGGGGGATCAGGAGCGGAAGGGCCGGTTCGAATTCGAAGTCGCCGTGCTCTCTGCGGCCTCCTGGCCGACGTATCCCGATGTCCCTGTACGGATTCCATCGAAAATCGCACGCTCGATCAGCAAATTCGAGGATTTCTACCATAGCAAACATACAGGGCGCAAGCTTACTTGGAAACATCAACTGGCGCATTGTCAGCTTACTGCAAACTTCCCCAATGGCAACAAGAACCTGGTAGTCAGCTCGTTCCAGGCAATTGTATTGCTACTATTTAACGATATCCCCGATGGCGAGAGCATGTCGTACCCCCAGATCCAGGAAGCGACCGGATTGTGTAAGTGGACCATCCACGCATCCCCAAAAGCCGAACAATCCCTAACATGACACACAGCGGACCCAGAATTAAAGCGAACACTCCAGTCCCTCGCTTGCGCCAAGTATCGAGTCCTAACCAAGACCCCCAAGGGCAAGGATGTGAACTCCAGCGACCAATTCTCGTACAACAAGAGTTTCAGCGACAAGCAAATGCGCATCAAGATCAACCAGATCCAGCTGAAGGAGACCAAAGAGGAAACCAAGAGCACGCACGAGCGGGTCGCGGCCGATCGCCATTTCGAAACACAAGCTGCCATCGTGCGCATTATGAAGAGTCGCAAATTGCTCAGCCACGCCGAGCTGATCTCGGAGGTTATCAGTGCCACTAAGACTCGGGGTGTTCTTCAGCCTGCCGAGATTAAGGGGGAGATTGAGAAGTATGTATCATTACTGCCCTGTCGTCCTGGATACGTCTAACATTGATTTCCCCTTTAGGTTGATCGAGAAGGAGTATATCGAGCGCAAAGAAGGAACCAACCAATACAGCTACGTGTCATAAGGCATAATTTTCATTTTTTACATGTTGAGAGTAGGTACTTTACTGAATGCACGCATGGTTTTCACGTTTTGAATATTTAATATGGGGTTTACATTTTCAGGGTAATAATATTATAGCCTCCCAGAGCACAGTACAGCGGCTCAGCCTGGTCTGCTCACCCCATCTCCCCTAATCGGCGCCTTCTGTTCTCGTGCTTGTATGAATTCAGTCAAATAATGGTCCACCATGAATGCGACCAAGATAGAATCCACGGTGATCAGAGCTGTGCTGAACGTCTATTCCTATGCCTGACGCCCTAAGAGTGGCTCCGTCTCGCTTCTTGTTGTATACTGGCTTTTCTGGACGAGCGATATAAGGCCAATAACAGTAGCCCTGCCTGGCCTGGCCGATGACGAAGACGAAGCTGCCAATAATGGTCCAACCGATAACTTCGTACCAAACAGACAAGCTATCCCAATTAAGATCCCGTCGACTGAATTTCTCATACGTAAATGGAAGACTCCATATCGACCTCAATGAAACTAGCATGAAAACAATGGCTTTCATAGCCAGATCCTTCGAGCTCAGCGCATTTGGAAAGGGTATAGTCCAAATCTCACGAGCTTGACGGTAGATACCCCAAACGCCAATAGCTGTAAGAATTGGGTAGGTTATCATAGAGTGCAGTGCGTAAAAAGCTGCTGACAAAATCCTCCGCGGTTCATCGTCAATCGTCAAGATAGCATCGCTACATAATCACAAAGGAATGATTGAGACGGGGAGGAAGCTAGTGTATCTAACGACTAAGGAGATTCTGCTACTATGCTATAGAGAAGAACCTGGGTGAGCCTTGGAGGAAAAATTAGGCTCTGTACAGCTTGCTTCTGGAGAACACGATCTCACAGCGTCAAGAAAAGTACTGTCACTACAACGCAGTGCCAAAGACTAAATCGGTCCCCGGCGCTTGGGGGTCAGGTAGAAAAATGTTGCCATCGGGATCGCGTTCAGTATATATTCCGTATATATAGATAGTAAATTGTTCAGTGGCGGGAATCAAATTCCATAGTATGTATAGTGAAGACACTCCCTTGATGGTCTGTTTCTTCTGGAAACGCAATATCTGGGGCAGAAATGAACCGACAGTTAGGATCAACAGGAGTTTCCTGATTAAGTCAGTACAGGATTCATGAATTATGGAGAAATTTAATGAAGCATCCATACACACGGCACCATATAGGTAGTTCTGGTATTCAGGAGTTGAAAAACTTTGTAGAATGTAGAGACCAAATATCCATTGCCCTGAATAGGGATATTATGCACACGTGATATATATTTTAGATTGCATAAATCCAGCCATTTTTGACAGCCCAATTTACCAATTAGCAATTGACTTCATCTTTTATGCCTAGAATAAAATAGGATTTCGGATATTTTCCGAATCATGAAGTATCCATATCCTCGCAGTTTACCCAGATATTAGCAATTGATGATTATCCGGCAATTGATTATGCCTTGGAGAAACAACGGAGTAGCTCCGGTCCCACCAAGCCACTTATAGTACAAAAATGCAGAGATACCGAGCTTGACATCGGCGCTGGCCGATGGTCCTTAATCAAAGCAAAAGCTACGAAAACCACTAAATTATGGAGAGAGCTCGCGTAGAGGGGTAGACCGAAGAGGAATTCCGTATTGTACTCATCCAGACTAATTAGCTATGGAATACTTATAGAATGAAATATTAGGATAAATTCGAACCATATTTTAAAGAACCCGAATGCATCTTATACCAACAGTTTTAGCCCAATTGAACTACATGAGATTAATATCAAAAGAACCCATGACCTGGAGCTCTACATCCCCACAACACCCCTGGATCTGACAGCAGATCCGAACCCGGATACCCCTTTCGTATGTATATTGTAGATCCTTTTTTTTTTTTCGAGGTCTCATGATGTCTCCACCTCAGTCTTGCGGTATCCCAGTATTTACCCTAGGGGCAGTTGTGTTGGGATTGTGATTGGCATTGAGATACGAAGTATTATATCATAAGTATTATAGTGAAGAGCGTCTCAATTAGAAGCCGAAATCAAAGCATATTAGGCGCAATAGCTATTTTAAGAATACATCTAGAATGTCTATAATGTATACGTTGTATAGCTCAGCAAAGTAAGAGGTGGTAGGTGCACCAAGAATGCCGGCATGCCGGCATACCTACTCAGTTGAGGTCAACAAAAGTCCACTCGGGCGAGAGTGGAGAGTCAGCTCTAGATGATGCAACGAGTCCGAGTGCTCCGAAATACAATTCCAAGAATGTTCCCTAGCGGTGAAAAGGCCCATTCGGGCGATAGAAAGCGCCTTTCTGGAATGTGCCTGGCGGGATATCCCCACAGGGTAACCCGAAGCGCAGATCCAGACCTTCGATTATGTTCATGTGAGCAGCAAAAAAAGAGCAAAAAGAAAAGGAATACGTACTCCATTATATACAATGTACGTACTCAAGTTCCATAAAGAGGGAGAGGGTGCCCTCCAGAGAGAGTTGAACACATCCCCCGTACAACGTGAGTCCCCCATATCCTCTACAACATATACTCCGTACAAGGATGCTAACATGATCTTAGAGCCCACTTTTTCCCCGCCCTCTACGACCCTCAAGTCCAATCCGAGAGCTTCGCCCCGTCTCTTACTAGGTCTCATTGAGAATCTCGGAATCTTGGAGTCTTGGGAGCCTCCATATCCCCCCCCCCATTAGCGAACAGTCCCCCTCTACCTCGGAGTCCATTGGAGAAATTATTTAAAACCTCCTGAATTCCTGATCAAAATCTATCCTTTTCTTCGAATTCGAAGTCGAATATACCCACTAGTTGAAACTGTCCACTTTTGATCAACAATGCAGAGTACGCTCCACACACCCTCTGATCCCAGATCTTCCCCACATATTCTGACCCTGAACAGCCAAACATTTCTTTACCGATCCGAACCACCTGGTTCTCACAGCGCTTAACTCGCTAACACTCACAAATCCATCTCTGGCTCTGGACAGACAGAATAAGATCATTTTCCGCCGTCCAGATGCGCACCGCAGAGCAAACAAAGTTTCCATCGTGACGGGCGGCGGCTCTGGCCACGAACCCGCATTTGCAGGATTCGTCGGTCACGGACTATGTGATGCCTCGGTGGCGGGTACTATCTTTGCGTCGCCATCTGCCGAGCAGATCCGCAGAGCGGTGATCGATCGCGTCCCCACTGATAACGGCGTGCTGATCCTTCCTATGAACTATACCGGTGATGTGCTGAACTTTGGCATGGCCACCGAGAAGTCTCGTGTTGCTGGTATTAAGACAGAATTCTTTGCTATCAATGATGATGTTGGTGTTGGTCGCGAGAAGGGTGGGAAGGTCGGCCGTCGCGGTATTGGTGGTGGTGTATTGATTCTGAAGATGGTCGGTGCTTTGGCTGAAGCTGGGTGAGTTTGATACATATCGCATGGTTTTACATGCTAAACTTAACTGAACTAATGCTAACGTTTCTTCCGCAGCGGCTCCCTGGAAGACGTCTACGCTCTAGCTCAGCTAGCAAACGCAAACCTAGTCTCACTGGGATCATCTCTGGAACATGTTCACGTGCCAGGCCGCGGTGTCCCCGAAGACACGATCCCGCACGGCGAGGTCGAGGTCGGCATGGGAATTCACAACGAGCCTGGGTCACACCGCGTGAAATTCGACCTCGTTGAGCTAGTCAAGAGCATGCTTCTACAACTACTCGACCACAACGACCCAGACCGCTGCTACGTGACCCGCAAGCCGGACGACCAGTTCGTGCTGCTAATCAACAATCTCGGCGGCGTCAGCCCGCTCGAGCTGGCCGGTATCACAGACGAAGTGTACCGCCAGCTCCGGGGCGACTACCAGCTTAACCCAATCCGCGTGATTCAGGGCACTTTCCTGACGAGTCTCAACGGCCTCGGCTTTAGCATCTCATTGATGAAGCTGGTTGACCCAGGTCTGGGCGTGAAGACTACTATGCTTGAGCTTCTCGACGCCCCCGCCGAGGCAGTCGGTTGGTCTGCTCCCATCAATACATCAACCTGGGAAAACAACCGCGACGCGGATCCCGTCGAGCTGAAGACAACTAACCTGGCCGAAGATGTCCACAGCAACCTACAGCGTAAGTTTCCATTGTACCATTTTCCCAGGTAACCAAAACTAACCCGACCCTAGTTGACCCAACCCTAATCCAAAAAGTCCTCGGCGCCGGCCTACAGCGCGTAATCAAAGCCGAACCCGAAGTGACCCGCTACGACACGATCGTCGGCGACGGAGACTGCGGCATCGGCCTAAAGCGCGGCGCCGAAGCAATCCAATCCCTCCTCACCGACACCACAACTCCACTAACAAACGACGTCGTCAGCACGGTCGCACGAATCGTGACAGTCGTCGAGAATGTAATGGACGGGACCTCTGGCGCGATCTACGCTATCTTCCTGAACGCGCTAGCACACGGCTTACTGGCGCAAAACACTTCCTCGCCAACGGAAATCACAGCACAGATTTGGGCGAAGGCGTTGAAGTCTTCGTTCGAGGCTCTGGGAAAATACACGCCTGCCAAGGTTGGTGATCGGACGCTTATTGATGCGCTTGCGCCGTTTGTGGATACCCTGCTTGAGACTGGGGATGTGAAGGCTGCGGCGGCGGCGGCGCAGCAGGGGACTGAGTCTACGAAGGCTATGAAGGCGAGCCTTGGGAGGAGTGTTTATGTCGGTGGTGAGCAGGAGTGGATTGGGAAGGTCCCTGATCCTGGGGCTTTTGGGTTGTCTGAGTTTTTGACTGGGCTTGCTGAGGGTGTTTAGGGCTGGGGCTTTATGATTCTGAGTTTACATAGCGACATACCTGGCCACTTCTTTTCTTGTTCATGGTTGTGTCTTGATATGGTCATTTGATGATAATGATATTCTTATTTGGTTCATGTATTGAGTGCCTGTGTTTAGTAGATAGTGAAATATAAGTAATCTACCTCTCTTTGGCATGGACAACCCTGACTTGTGTGCGTATAGTGCCGAGTATGCCCACAGGTGTAGATAACCTAGAATAAGATACGATGATCTAGGTACACTTCTAGGATTGGGCTTTGGGCCCCTGAAATGCAAGAGATATCGGAATGATGAGCTCATAAGGAGAATATGGACTAGAAGATCGAAGATCTATGAAGCCCCGAGGTAATAGCTTACGAACGTCTACAGAGGTCTGATGAAATCTTTCTTAACATTCATTGCTAACCAGCTCTGCTCCAGGTTGACGCCGCCCGAGGATTCCCTCGACAAAAAACAAGAACGGGTCAAGCAGCCCGCGCAAAGAACTGAACGCCAATAGGTTTTTTTTTAGTCCATCCCCAGTTTGAAAGATCAAAAAACAAGACAAGATCGACAGGACAGCCTTGTACATGCAATGGTTGCTTGGAGACAAGTAGCCATGCAAATACAAAGAGTACCAGCATCGATCGATTGAGGTCTGGCGGGGACCAGAAGCAAGGGAGGAAAAGCGGGATGTGAGGAGAAAGGAAAAAGGGTATCGAGATCGATTACATGATAAATCGCCCACGGGTATTCTTCATGGGTTCGAGATGCTGTGCAAATAGCAGGATATCGACCGTCCCGCAGATCTTAGATATCAGGATCATGCCCAAGGTGGGGATTGAAGTGTGCGAGAGGAAAATGTGATGAGGCGCTCAGCTGAGCAGGATAAGGATAACAGAGTCACCGCGAAGGAACCTAAAGATAAAGTAATGCGGTTAGAGACTGGTTCAGAAATAGCAAAGGGACGAATATCCGTCCACGGTCTGGTGCACGTACATCTTGCTGATGAAACGGTCCTTGTTCACGCCCTTGCCCTTGGCACCCTTGGGCTTCTCGGTCCACATCTCCTTGACATTCTCGAGAACCATATTGCAGTGTCGGTCGAAAGCCTTGACACGGGCCAACAGCTTGCGGTTGTTTCGGCAGGAGATCAGGACCTGGGTGTGAGTGCGCGTGGCGGTCTGTAGGAGAGACAGGGGACCGGCGGTGAGCTCATGCTCCTCGACACGAGCGACCTCATATTCCCTATTGAGATACAAAATGCAAGATTAGATTTTTTTCCCCTAGATGTACCTTGCGCAGCGTGCATAAGGATGTGAAGGTGTCGGTCGCAAAGTTTCCGAGATGCGGAAATTGTAGGCAAACCCCGTGAGACCGAGGATCAGGCAGGTACTCCCGGGGTTAAGGCCGTTGATTACTCAGAATGAGAAATGCCGCATGGGAAGGGAGGGGGTCAAATCAATGTAACGGGTGTGCATACGTGAGCTCGCTCTTCGGCTTGTTGAGAAGGTCTCTGTTCGGATTGTTAGCTGATTGGTCCTGGATAGAGCTATGACTCATTGATAGAGTAACATACTGAATCTGGGGTTCGGGAGCGGTAGACATGGTGGATATAAAGAGGTCGTTGAAATCGAGAGATGGCGTTGATGCAGCAGTGTGACAGTTGAAGTTGACGGAGAGCTAAAGTCACGTGGAAATTCTCGCAAACCTTGGAACACCTGAGGGAAATAGCGACACCTTATATTTCAGGCACATATTCCCAGCCATTTCCCGAGGACGCGATTGGCTACAGTCACGTCGCGTCACGCTTGTTTGGAGATCTTTCAATATAGCTTCGACCCGCGCATGCAAGGCTTCTTAAACCTCACCCCTTCCTCACCTTTCTCTCTCCCGCTCTTGTATGCTCATGCAGAGCTAGTGGAGAGACTATTGCTTTTTCCTTCTTTTTCTATTCGATTGGTAAGAATCATTTTTTCCCCTTTCAGTCACTGATGCTTCCCTCTGCGAGGGCATGCAAATCAATTGCTGACATTCCAGCCCTGCAGAATAGAGGACCCCTCCACTACCTGTTGCTGCAAAACTTGTCCATTCTCCCGGTCGACCAGATCCTAGATATGCACTGCTGATCGGCTAGCTCGCCAATATATTCTGGTTCATTCCTGGTTTTGAGTGAAAGGGCTTTCGTTAATCGACAATTTCGTTCCGCTCTCACTCTCGAATCTTGCTACCTGTCAACACTTTCGAACCTCGAGTCTCATACTTTCGACTATAGTTGAATACCCTTCACTCTCTATCCTTCATTTCAACCCCAGAATTTGGTCAACCGTCTTGCATGGTGGGCAAACAAAGTCTAATGAGATGGAGTCTCAGGACGGTATCGATGTCCGCCCTATGAGGCGTATGTTTCCCACTACCGTTCTAATGAGGGTAATTGAGTGGCAACTAACCATGGTTATCCTACAGTGAAAGTCCTTTACACTTTCGACAACGAAAACAAGACCAATTGCCTTGCTCGGTGGCCACACGTGCTCGACATCCAAACGGCCTTCCTAGATGAGAACACTCCCGTTGGAGTGATCGAGTTGAAGACATGCATTCAGGCAATCGTCTCTGCTAGGTTTGACTTCCTTACCCCCGAGCCCAAAATAGTATACTAACGCATTTCCTTGTTCAGCCCGGAGCTTGTGGGTCAATTAGGAAAGGATTATACCGTCTATGCCTACGACTATTCCGAATTTGAAACCCCTCTCGTGGGGCAAGGCATGCTTTCTGGGGTGTTGGCCACTTTCTCATCGACACCCGAGACACCCAGCAGCCAATCGAGGACCATGATTACTGGGCGAGTTTGCAAGAGCCCTCTCGGTGGTCTCTTCTCCAAGGGCGCCCAAGAGACGTTGGAGGTCAAGTTACGGCTGGTACCTGTCCCGACTGTTACTCAGAGTGAGTACTTCGCTAGGATGCAGAAGCATCAGAAGTTGACCAATGGAAACTCAGGCGACTTTGACACGCAGTCATGGACAAATTTCATTCGTCAAAACCCCGCCCTCTTGGAATCCTCAAGAAGCCAGAGTCACAACGACCATGGATCTCCGATACATCAGACTGGGATCGAGAGATTCCACCAGCTCTTGAGCGAAGGCTCGACGCCTCGGGAGTTCCCTACATTCCACCACAATGGATCGGTCCGCTCGGTATCGCCTTCGCACTCATACGCTGGTAGTCGAGTATCAACACCTGGTGGATGTCGAACACCTGCTCATCATCAATCTTACCCCAAACAGAGCATTCCCCATAGTGATATGATTCGCCCGTCCTCGAGTGCCTCTATGCGGGACTGCGACAACCAGACCCAGCTTTCACACATCTCGCACACTTCACACAACAACGCCCGAAGAGGATCCATTCAGTCAGGATACGGTAGTGGTGATGAAGAATCAACCGAGGCTCCAGCCCGGAAGAGGGCCAAGGTGTATCAAGCAAGCTGGCCCGGAAAGTCAAGCATGAACATCGAAAGACAACCAAGTTCGCTACGAGTTGCAGCTAGCACGGCGGCCTCCGTACGGATCCACCGCCCAACCCCTGTGAACCCTGCTCTCACGGCCGAGCACACCCACGAAGAGCCTGTCCGTCCACCCACTCCCATATCTCGACCGTCTGATTTCCCCCGCCGAAGTCGACCCACCGGTAGCTTGTTACGGGAGTCGTCGAGCCTTAGCATTGCCTCATGTCCTGCTTCGTACAATTCTCCATACTGTATGAGTGATGACATCCCTACCACGGAGGCTGGCGCCTCTCCTGAAGATACCCGTTATCAAGGTCTCTTTGAGCCATCATTCAACATGCCATCATCACCCCCAGTCTTCGATAGCCGGTTGACAAATAGGTCAAGCCCAGTCTTGCCTACCATGTCTTTGGACAATGACTCCGGCTTCATGAGTGCAGGGCCGGATGAACTCATGGACGATGACACCGTTGTGACCCTAGATGACCGCAGAACGGGAGCCTCTCGTGGGATAACCCGCGACAAGTGCTCGGTTCGCACTACCGTGCAGGCAGGTTCTCCGGTCAGCATTGTCAGTGCTGCACAGGGAACCAACAATGACCCTCTCCCCGTCGACGATAATCCAATGGAGCAGGTTGCAAAGCAGGCGCCGCGTCCGATATCTAGTGCGGCCCCTTCCCGTCCCGTCCAACCCCGTTCTACATCCCGTCCTGCCACAGCCACTGGCCCGGCATCGAGACCTTCTTCGAGCTCTGGCACACAACGTTTGGCGCCGAAACCCCTGGCACCGGCTCCGCAAATCTTCCCTAATGAATTTCCCCAGTTGTATCGCGCAATCCCCGCTAGCGACCCGATTATGCCTCCTCGTTCTGCTGCGCCTGTGGATGTCACTTTCATGCCGTGCGAGACAGCTAGTTCCAATTCTAAGCAGCCAAAGCAGTCGAAGCAGCAGTCGAAACCAAGGGCATTGCCGAAACAGGGATCCAAGGCGGTGCCGAAGAACATCAAGGCACGCTTGGACAATGCTATTCTTAATGGGGAAATCCCGCCATATTGTGAGAATTGCGGCACCATCGAAACCGCCAGCTGGCGGCGAGCGTGGGCGAAAACAGTCAAGGGCGGCGAGAGCCTCGCAGAAGGGATGATGAGCTCTTCCCCTATGCTCTATTGGGAAGCCGTGGACCGAAATGGCAATGGTGAAATGCAAAGTTTTAAGATCTACAAAAAGGCCCTTGAGCAGGACGATATTGATTGGTCGCAGTTGACCTTCTGCAATCCTTGTGGCTTATGGCTCCACAAATTCAAACAAATGCGCCCGGAGGACAAATGGGCAAAGCCAAAAACAGCAAAGCCCGCCAAAAAGTACAAAAAGCGTCCCTCGAGAAGCCGCAGTCAAGCCAATTCCTGTCCGGCTACCAGAACTCGGAGCAAGGCCGCACCAAAGAAACCTTCGGCTTCCTCTCCAGCACCTACTGAAGCGTCGTCCGTCCATCCCGATGGAGAAACCCCCCAAATGGACAATGACGACGATGATGATCAGGATGGCGAAGCGGACTATTCTCCCAACGAGTCTCCCCGAGCGACCAGTGCCGAGTCGGAGGGGACTTTCGATACACCAGGACGTCGTTGGTCGAAGCAGGACGCCAGAGAGGCACTGCGTGCCACGAAGTCTAGCCCAGTGAGCCGTGCGCAAGCCCGGTCTGCTCCAATGACAGATGCCAACAGCCTCACCCCCAAGCCCTTGAGAAGGTCCCTTTTTCAGAATTCCCAGAATGATGGGCCTCTGAAGGAGCTTGATTCTTCTATGGTAAACAGCTGCTCCCCACGTCGCAGCCCTCGCATTGCCTCCACAAAGGAAGACAAGCCGGGTCAGCAGAAGGAGAACCTTGCACCCACCCTGGGCGATGACCTCGATGCTCTATTCGAAAGTCCATCCATTGGATTTGATTCAACAAGCCCTACTCCCCGTCGACGTAACCCGCGCATCAACGCGATTGATAAGCGTCTGTCTTTCCCCGCGAACTCTCCAAACCCCACCAAACGGAAGGATCTAGGCTTGGTTATGACTCCAGCTCGACTGTCCGCAGAGCGCCTACAGCGTATCCAATCAATTCACGGAAGTCCCCAGTCATCACCACGGAAGTCCCCGGCCAAGCAACAGTCTTTGGCGCCACAGCCTACCTCTGACAATCTTCCGGAGACCTTCGAGTCCCTTGATGGCATGATGCTCGACATCTTTGATGATGCCGACAAGGCCGAAGCTTTCTTCGAAATGGAGAACGCCAAGTTCACTGGTGAGAACTGGGCGGAATGGCTTCCAGCAGACTATGTTTCCCCTGCTGAATCTTGCGAAACTCCTGCCAACGAGCTGCTGAACGCTCTCTTCTCAGACAATCCCAATGAGAAAGAGAACTTCAACCCCGATCTCCTCCCCTTTAACTTTAACGATGTTGGCATTCCCGACTCCGGCTTCTTCAGCTCGGATGCTCTCGCCACCGATGCACCCAAGATCCAGCCCGCTGGTGAAGAACCCGAAGGCCATTAGGCCACCTCCCTTGTCGAAGACTGGGAGAGACTCCACAGACGTCTTTCCCACACGTCAACCAAATCATGTTTGCTTATCTTTTATTTTATTTTTGCTGTTCTTTTAGCGACGGCGTTCGGTTTATGGGTTGATATCGTTGCATACAAACAGCAGATCCTTACTTTTCACCTTGAGATTTACGGCCTTTTTCCTATTTGTTCAAATTGATGACCTGGAGTATCTTGAAAGATCTCCAATACTGCATTCGCTGTCGCCTTTAGTGGATGCATACCCCTCAAGTGGAAGTGGTGGTATTTGCTAGCTAGGATATCTACACTATGGATCCTGAGTAGTCTTATGATAGCACGAAATACTAAATCAAATCAAAAATCACAATAATCATATCCTGGCTTGCAGTAGACACAATACTAAAATAAACGATAGTTGTACTTTGACACTCCAAGGTTGGCAGGCACCTGTGACCCTGAAAAATAAAAATGGCAAGGGCAATGGACCCATCCATTTTAGGAAGGTACGTGAGACTATAAAAGGATTCCTCCCACCTTTCTTCCTCTTCTCTTCTTCCTCTCCCCAACCCTCTCGACTGTACTCGCCGTAGCCCACCTGAGACAGCGTTGAGGACCGTGCCTTTCCTATGAAAACCGGAAAGATGTCAACATTACCAACCTTGGAATTGTTGATGTCTTCTCAGGTCCGCACCCACATCAAACGGGGAGTTCTCGTGCGAGTCTTGACAAGTCGTGACTGAGCCTTCGGGCTCGGTAGTCACTGACAGAACCCACGGAATACATGGGGGGTGTTCACACCCTCTTCTTTCATTGTACGCTAGTTGTCTACTTGTAGGTAGTTACCTGAATATATTCATTACACCTTCCGTAGTTAGTAGGTCTAGTTCAATGTAAATTCTTGATTGAAGCTTTGATCGTAACCTCATATGTAAAACGCAAAAGCCGGGGAATCACAGAGGGAGAATCACAGTGACAGCATCAACATCCTAGCCCGGATCAACAGACATTTCTGCTCCATAGGCTCTACCTGGCGGACCTTGCTGATAATGTCACAATAACCAGGCTGGCGTGTCCTCCTGGATCATCCCAGACTCATATTAGACTCGGTACAACTCTCAGTAAAACGGCCATGTATTCAAATCCAAATCCCTCAACTCATGACCCATCAGTCGTAAAAGATAGACTTGAAGTTATGCGTAGCATTGACAACATGTTCGTAGATCTTATAATCTAGAATCACAACACACGAGTTAGTCTCTAGATTTACCTCGTAGAGAAGCATTCAACACATACCGCAATCAGCTGGGTCACCCCACTCAGTCGAGCCCAGTACACGGAGTCCGTATCCCTACAACGCAAAGTTAGAATGTACTCTGCATAGTCATGAAAACCCAAACCCGAGATAGAAACTCCAAACATACCTGTCCACCCTCTAGATCAGCCACTTTCCCCACGACCTCAACGAGCTTCCCGACTTGCAAGCGCGCATCAGACTTCAGAATCAGTGTAACATCGCCATTTGTGCCACAGGTGAGTGTGCCGGTGCTTCCGTGGAGCGCAGTGACGGTGCCGAGTATGCGGACAGTGTTCGAGCTAGCACTGGAGGGGTGGAAGGCGTGGAGGTGGGAGGGGAGGATGCGGGGGGTTTGAAGTGACATTTTTGTATATTGGCTGTTTCCCGGCTGGGTTTGAGACTTCGGGATTAGAAATGTTGAGGTAATGGGCTTTGTCGTTTGTTTGATGCTGGAAAACGGCGGGGAATAGGTAAGGTTGATTGACGCGCGCGGAAACGCGTGGTCACGTGGTGATTAAATAGTTATGATGGCTAAGTGGGCTTTTGAACTGGATATTTGGCAAATACTATGGAACACTGTCTTAATTGGAAATTTGTTGCTTGAGTAAGCGGCAAGGAAAATTATCCACGTACAACAACTCCACAGCCAAGTTGACTCGATCAATTCTCACTTCTGCTGTGTAGCTTTTCCATATCCTCACGTGATCACATATCAATCTCCAGCAAAAGCTTCAGTCCGATACGTCAGTTCAACAATCCACCACCACACCATAATACGGAGCAGACCTGGCACAATTTTCTAGATTTGAACTGTAAGCCAGGCAACAGAGCTCTACATCTCTCTACATCACCGACACCCATCCTCCCACACTCACCACATCCGACCACAATGCCTCCTCCATTCCCCTCGTCCCACCGGGGAATGACCAAAAACCCTCTCAGACCTACTCGCTACCGCCCTGGAAAGCCTGTCGCAGAGGAGCACTCTTCTGAAGAGGAGGAGGAAGAGGAAGAAGATGCCGAAGCTGAACGGGAGGCGCGACGAGAAGAAGAGCGGCGCAGACGAGCCGAGGTTTTGCGCCGAGCAAAAGGGCCCAAAGCAAGCTCATTTCCAGCCTCTGCAGTAGCGCCTCAAAAGGCCGAAGAGGAAGATGACGAGGAAGGGTTCGTCACCGAAGATGAAGATGACAAGCCCGCACCTGCACCCGCGCCAAAAGCAGTTCCGCATCCTACAGCCGACGATACAAAACCTACTATGCCCACACCCGCCGCTAAAAGCGCTAAAGAAGAAGAGTCAGATGAAGAAGAGTCAGATGAAGAAGAAAGCTCCGAAGAAGAGAGCAGTTCCGAAGACGAAGCACCCCGGCGCATGCTCATACGACCAACATTCATCAAAAAAGACAAACGCAACGCAGCCGCACAAGCCGGCCAAACAAATGCACAATCCGAGGCAGATCGAGCAGCCGAAGCTGAAGCCCAGCGCGCCGCCCAACGCCAAGAAAAAGCAGACCAACTAATCCGCGACCAACTCGAGAAAGAAGCTATAGCGCGCTCAAGCGCGAATCGCGCCTGGGACGATGACGAGCTCATCGAAGCCGAAGACGAAGAAGCCATTGACGACACAGACGGTCTAGACCCTGAAGCCGAGCGGGCAGCATGGACACTCCGGGAGTTGAAGCGGGTGCAGCGCGCGCGGGAAGCGATTGAAGCGAGCGAGAAAGAGCGCGAAGAGATCGAGCGTCGCCGGAACCTTACAGCTGAGGAGCGGGAGCGGGAAGACAGCGAGTTCATTGCGAAGCAGAAGGAGGATCGTGAGGCTACGCGTGGACAGACTGGCTTTATGCAGCGGTATTTCCACAAGGGTGCATTCTTCCGTGGGGATCTTGAGGCGGAGGGTCTGGATCGTCGGGAGCTTATGGGTGCACGCTTTGAGGACGATGTCAATCGTGATACGTTGCCGGAGTACATGCAGGTGCGCGATATGACGAAGCTTGGAAAGAAGGGTCGTACGCGCTACAGGGATCTTAAGTCTGAGGATACGGGGCGGTTTGGGGATGGGTTGGAGCATAGGAAGAGGAGGGAAGGGGCTCCGCTGGGTGTTACGGATGAACGGTTTATGCCCGATCATCGTCGTAGTGGTGATGATGGGGATCGTGGACCGACTGGTGCTAATGCTAGTGTTGTTAGACCTCGGCGTAGGTCGAGGTCACGTTCACCCAGGCGTGATCGTCGAGATGATCGAGACTCGGGTCGGGTTGAGCGCAGTCGGTCTAGGGAGAGACGGAAGCGGAGTCCGTCGCCCTATGATGATCGGGACAAACGTCGGCGGGTGGACAGTTCGTAATCGCCTTGATGGTCAAGGTGTTGATATCCTACTTCAATGTTGGCGTTGGGGCGCGAGTCTATTCCAAAGTGCATGTGCATGCTGGGATCTTCTATGATATGTGAATTTCGAGAGCAACCAATGTGCCAATACTGTTCTGTGTATGTACATATACGTAATATAGCATATCCTCTCCTGGAGGAATTGTATTGCATGATATCTGCTGGCCGACAATCAAGGACTCTCGTGCATGATCCATAGCAGATTGCAAGAACTGTTAACAAGTTCTCGCATCGACCGTCCAGCCTTATTTGCATGACTTCGTGAAGGGAATGTCCGTGCCGGAATCAAAGACCACCAAAAGAGCCGCAGCGTAGAAGCTCTATTACCACTGCAGAGCATCTCAAACGCTGTAGGTCTACTGCGCTAACAAGCACACATCGATCAGCTTGCCTACCAAACATTCCGGTAACTCGAATGCAAAGCTCATTCATTATTTCACACCCGCCCTCTCGAGCACCTTCTCCCTCTCCATAACTGGATCCCCGAAGCGGACCAAGAACACCGTACGACTAGGCCAGAGTTCCGTGGGCTGGTTATGCGCCGAGACCTTCGTCTCAAAGCCACATCCATCACAGACACCCTCGATGATGCCAGCAACATAGGCGGCGCAATTGAGCATGCTCATATCGCGGGGCGCGCTGATATATGTGTTGACCATCGGGTCATTATCGGTGATCATGTATTCATTGGGGGTGTCTGGGGAGACGGAATGCTCGAGGGCATCTGCGGCACGCCCGAAGAGGAGGCGCCAAAGGGGGCCGTGGATCAAATGCAGCAGGGTTATGATGCGGAGGGGTCGGTTTGGGGGTGAAGAGGAGGTGGAGGAGCTTGAGAGGGCCGAGGAGGAGGTTGAGGTTGAGCGGTAGAAGAGAAGGTCGAGGAGACGGAGACCGAGGGGGTAGCCTTGTTCGTTTAACCTGGATGGAGGGGTCGTAAGCCACGGGCTGCTGGGTAGTTACATGGCAATAATTGTTGTCTGAGAAGGCCGAAGAGAGGATTCCAGGCTTGAATCAGGGGCTGTTTACCGTTTCTCCAGATCTTGGATACCTGTTACTCTTCGTTGAGCGTATGTGACCATCTCTCCGAACAGAAAGGCGAAGCTCGCCCGGCTGAGTTCTGCATTACGACTCCGGTTCAGGTGTCGGTCGTAGATGGTCTTGCGATTGGAGGGTACGCGCAGGCCAGGAGACTGTTGTGATTGCTGGAGTTGCTGTGATTGCTGTGTCTGCGGTCTGTCGTTTCCTTGCGCTGTGCTGCCATTGCTGATGGATTGCATCGTGGCATGTCGAGGTGGTGCCGCCATTGGAATGGCGCTGAAATACAAATCAGAGTCGAGAAATGTTGGTTTGAGAGCTTGATCTGGTCAAGTTGAGGTATCTATGGGAGGTTTGAGGTATCAACAGTGGATGCGGTACGGCGGAGCACAACTCCCTCAGGTGCAAATCCAGCGAGATTTTACGTTTGCGCTGAGAAACTACAAGTTTTGGTATGGAATACTACAAGAAAGATAATTGGAAGAGATTTGTAGACATAACGGCCACATTGATTCGATGCTGATATACTATATGTTCTAACTGTTGAGCTTTCACTCCCGAAACACCACTCAACATGTTCGAAGCAAAGCTCTGCGACGCAGCGATGAGCAACCCTAGCAACAGCACATCTAGCTATATAGCTAGACAGTGCGCACTGCAAAGAAGTGATATGATATCGAAGATTGGATGAGACGTTTAAGACAAAGTAGATCCTATTTCTGAGCGACAATTAGCAACTGCCTCGACTGCCAAGTCTGAAGTGCAAATTCATTAAAAAGAACAGCCAAATAGTTCTCAGACATCCAAGGAAGATATTCCGCTCAACGCTGCCTTGATTGGGTTCAAGCGACAACTAGCGTGGAAACTGCGAATGTAGGAAAGTTTTCATCATCGAACGGCGCAAGGCCGTTGGCTGGGAGGAAATGAATGCAATGCAAAAAAATTCATAAACTTACCAAGTCAGTGAAGAAGAGTATATGTGAATCTGTTCACATATACTCTTTTGAAGTTGTCGGTCCTCAGGAGTTCGAAGCCAACATTAAGACTTCGAACTTGGTTGAGGAAGATGAAGAAGAAGAATTTTTGGGGAGGGCGATGGCCTTTTATAGGGCCGAGCGGAGCCGCAGAATTCTAGCGAAAAAAAAAGAGTGTCCACTTGGAAAAAAAATAAATGGGAAATTTCAAGCTAATGATATTAACTAAAAGAAAATTGTTGTTTCTAGCAAATTCCATTGTGCTCATAGACTTTGACAAGTATGTACGCCCATAAATGAAACCACCCAGTGGCTGTAAACCCAAAACCCTGAATAACACCAAATATATTCATAAAAGAGCAAGGGAAAGAGGAAGAAATAGCGGAAGAAAGAGCCAAAGATCATGCCAGGAAAGAATTGTCTCCACCCCAGCTACTTGAAGCTCTTCTGCTTTTCTCGCGAATTCCAATTCAAAGTCTTGGAGATGCTGTGCACCCAGCCCTCGCCCTGCCCACCGGGAGGCAAGACATTGGCAAAGGGATATCTCGATGCTGACACGGTGACGTAGTCGCCAGGAAGTAACTCGACTCTGGGGTTTTCAGTCAGATAACAGACCCGAACGGTGACATGGCATAAGTAACAAATGTAACAAACTCACCTCTCTCGTCCATCAAAGCTAGCCCATGAGCTCGTGCGCGCATCGTATGGCACACCCATGCGCAAGACAATGGTATCTGGTAGAATAATCGGTCGGAAGGACAGCGTGTGAGCGCAGATGGCGGTAACAAGGATGACGGGGTTCTCGGGGTGCGAAAGAGAGCCGCCAGCAGCGAGATTGTAAGCAGTTGATCCGGTTGGAGTAGCAATGCAGATTCCGTCAGCGAGTAGGGTGGTGAAATGCTCGTCGTCCCCGAAAAGTTCGATTTGAGACATGGCTACGGAAGACTGGTTAGTTCTGTGTCTGCTTTTGGTGAAAGCCAACACGTCACACAGGGAGAATCGCAATCAGAAAGCAGAAAGCAGAAGACATACTTGGGTTTGGCCCCCGGTCTAGGACTACATCGTTGAGAATCTCATACACTTGATGTGGCGTGTGTGTTAATGTGTCCTCCCCTTCCTCTCCGATCAGTTCCTCCACCAAGTCACGCTCTGATAAAGAGCGTGGGTGCGAGTCTCTTTCCCGCGCTTTGCTGCGCATGATCGTGCATTCAAACCGTAGCCGCAGGCTGACAAAAACACCATCCCGGAAAGCATTATCGAGGCTCGTCTGATAATCTGCAAAGTCGAAATTGGTCAAGAAGCCCAATGAGCCCAGCGCAAAGGAGAGTACGGGCGGCACGATCCGCTGGAATAGCCAGCTGGTATAGAGAACGGTTCCATCACCGCCAAGAGTAATCACAAAATCGAATAAATGTGGTTGTTCTTGCGCAATCTTGGTATCCCAGTACTTGAGACGGCCTTCGGCGGAGGGCTCGTCTTGTATCAGTTGCAACGCACCGAAGTCCGCATGTGTCTCGAGCCGACGCTCAACGTAGACCACGTACATATAATCCCGGTCCTTAGAGAGTAGCCATCTTGTAACCTTTCGAGTCAGGCTTACCAGCGACTCATCCTGCGCTTTGCTTACCACGAAGACATTCTTCACGGTGAGCTTGAGCTTGATGCTGCCCAGCTTCTTGGATAGCTTGCGCACATTCCAAGCCATATCTGATAGTTGCCTCTTTGTAAGATGCCGGGATTCAATGACTGTGGGTATCGGTTTGTTGCTGTCATCGACCACCGAGACTAATTCATCTGGTTGGATGTCTTTGGTATTTGCCGTGACTTTAGTCTCGTCCTTGTCCAATGTCTGTATCACATCTTCCGTATCGTCTGTATCTTTCGGGTGGTGTAGGGGTGCGGTCCATTCACTCGCAATGAGGGAGTGGACGTAGCAGGCGGTCGCCTGGTCATCATGGGCTGGGTGGTGTTGGACTCTCGGCTTGTCCGTCGTAACAAGGGAGGACTTGCGGCGGTGGTTGGAGCCAGGATAGAACACGACCTGGGTAACAAGATGTGCTTAGTATGTAACTTTCACCGGAGTCAAGGTACTCACCTCTAGGTGATTCTGAGCTTCCGTATCGCTCGCCCCTCCACAGTTCTATAATGGCATTGGTTAGTTGCCGCAATACCCCAGTCGATTGGCACTTACATCTTCCTTAACTGCCTTATCCATCACGCAGAATTATTGTAGGTTCCCTTTTGATCACTTTGTCATGATTGAGTTGTCTGGATGTCGGTGGCAGAAAGTGGGTAGCTGGGAACCATGCCCCACCACCTCGGTGCAGCTCCAAGCAAAAAACTAGAATTTAGGTATCTTTTGTATGGCATTCCTATATAAAAGATACATGCCTGTAATATCATATTTCTCAACCCTTAAGCTAGGTAAAGAAAGAGTAACAGAACTAATATATGATATAATTCTAACTTGTTGATTTAATACTACAATTAGTCCTAGATATGTAATTTGGAGGGATGAGTATCATATAAAAAAGCACTATACAACAAAGATTGGCGAACACCGGTGTGAGCTTGGCACGATTATGACGTAGAACATATCCGCTCAGAGAACCCAACTTCCCCGACACATGGCCGATTTTCTGGAATGAATCTCTTAAATGACTTAATTTGTGATATTGTTTTATTTAGGCTTTACAAACTTTTCTATCTTGGCAGTTCAATTTTATCATCGGAATATGGTTCTAAAAACATGCTTTCTACAGAGATATATCGGGCAACGAGTGGGTTACAACATAGTAGATTTGCACGCTAACTTGACTCCCATACTTTACATCGCATTCTTCATCTCTCGCAATGCTGCCATCACGTCCACAGGGTCAGTCTTACCAGTTACCATTTGGATCTCGGGGTCCTATGTGTTCTGAATAAGCAACGGCAGATACAAGGGCAAAGGATAAGGAACTTACGTTGACGCGCATGAACACATTGTGGCGCTAAACGTTTGTCAGTCTCGACCGAAAATATCACTTGGCTCTAGCTCTTACCTTCTCATCACCGATGGTGAATTTCCCTTGTGTCTGCTGGTTCTTTTCCGCAAATGCCTGGAGCTTCTTGATGGGCTCTGACTGCGAGACTGAAATGCAGAACTTGACATTGGCCTTGGTATACTCATGACCGGGCTAGAGGGAGTCAGCACTAGTCTCGTGTCGACATGAAAAATCAATCATACATAAACCTTGGTGTCATCAGGCAGAGCCGCGAGGGTTTCGTTCAAGGCCTTGTGCATCTCCTTCGCATTTCCTTCGAAGAATCGGCCACATCCTGATTTCAAAATTAGTCGACCATACCCAATTGACAGATGAAAGGTCGAAAAGATGATATACATACCACCAATGAAGAGAGTATCGCCGGTGAAAACAACACGCTGGTCTCCGTCTTGCATATAGTAGCAGACGCTATCTTGTGTGTGACAGGGAGTATGCAATGCCTTCACTGAGATACGATCTCCAATCTTGAATTCTTCGCCATGCGCGGGGGTCTTCGTGACAGAGGCGCAGTCCTTGCCACCAATGACCTGAAGGCCCTTGAATTGTTTCAACTAGTGTAAACGTTAGCTCAGGTAGCATCCAATATCCCGAGAAATAATGCCTACAATGTCGTTATTACCGCCAGCATGATCCCAGTGGCTTCAGCAAATGTCAGCAAACTTGGATTTGTCATCTTGTTACCCGCCCATGAAAGTTCCATCTACGTACTGGTGAGTGTTAACAATAGCCGTCAGGTCAATCTTGCCAGAATCAATCTGAGACTTGAGTTCCGGAGCGACCCTACAATCTCACAGAATCAGTTGAGCTCATGTAATAGTTTCAACCCGTTCTACTGATGCAACTCACTCCGGAGGATTGGCGGGATCAATAATAACCGACTTCTTGGTCGATTCGTCTGTCACGAGGTAGGCATAGTTGTTGCCCTTTCCCGTCCCTTTAGAATTGATCTAGAATAAGCAAATATTCCTGCTGCAATATACCAAGGCTGCCACTGTTGATTGGTAATATATATGACGGGACCGGGATTAACATACACATAGGAATTGATTGGATATGCATGGCTCTGGCTTGTGACCTGAAGAGAGGTGAGCTAGTTCCGAATAATTGTCTCCGTAAAAAGATCATCACCAACGATGAATCAAAACAGTGCGGGGAGCTCTCGAAAGAGGTACACTGCCCTGGTGGATCTCTCGGATCACCAACGTCATCCGGATGAACTATCTTCCGATCAGCTCGACAGCTTTTAGTAATGTCATTACTTGTGATTGGCTACTCGTTACTATGTAGATATGTTGTATAGGGCTGTCTGTCCTGTAGGATATTGGCTTTGAGCTCTCTAACGCTGCCAGCAGCGTGTGCATTTTTTTTTAAATTTGGGATATGCCCGTCTAATTACTCGATACCACGCCCAATGGCCGACTGTCCCATTTCTCTAGAAATCCCCACCCATGTTGCAGCAACTTATCCGAGAGCTGAGTTGGAGCGTATTGCGAGTCATTTCTAACGTGTTTGTACTTCGAGACTCGGTTTTTGGGAGCGGGTCGAGCGGCAAGAACTGATTTGGGCTTGGCAGCATGCTTCCTTAAATGATCTCCTAACATCTTTGTCCAGTGGTGTGGACTTTCATCGCAAGCTCGGAGGACATAGCTCTGTGGGCATGATTGTCTGTGGAACTCCCAGGAAGGAGATGTCAAGATATGTGCGATCCACAGATACAATGCCTCGGAAGGCGCATCTTCCGAAATATCTGTTGTGTTCTTAAAGGCTAGGTCATTGACCAGATCTTCAGTCAAATGCCTCAAAAAAGCAGGATGGGTCTCTGCAACCCTTTGCAGAACCGGGTTCCACTCTTTGAATGTATCATTCAGCGAATCTCCAACTCTAGAATGTCACAGTTAGCATGTACTCCCCGACAGCAGATGTACCCCTTTAGACACAGCCGAGACAAAAGCAAGAAAAAGGGGGAAAGCAAACTTACTCCCGCCCAGTAGGCACCAAGAATCCGCGCTCGAGCAAGACAGATGACAAAAGTCTGACCGCCGTCCCCGAGACGTTACAAACCGAGACAAGCCGCATAGCGACCGAAACAGCCTGATCCCGCTTCCGCTTCTTGGGAACATCCGCCGATCCACCGGATAGAGGCTGCAGAGCGTCGCACAAGGCGGCCCTGACAGACGCACCGTCGTCATGGGCCAATACAGAGGCACCGGAGTCGTCAGCAACACCGGCCCAGTAATTGTCCCACAGCCACTCGAGCGACCGCTGTGCAGCTTTACGCAGTACAACGAGCGATGGTGGCTCGCGGTGGGTTGCTTCGTGGCGGAGTTCCACGAAGGAGGCTGGGAGGCCGAGGTCTGTGGCGCGTTGGAACATTGTTCGGCGTACGCCGTGGATCTTAGTGTCCACAAGACCCGTTACGAAGCTAAGGTGGGGCATTAGTTAATTCGAAAAACGGGAGACGCTATGTGAATAGGGGTGTCTTGAATTCGAGACATCATCCCACAGGGGGATCAAATGGGGCTTGTCTCTCCCATAAATGTAACAAGAATCAGGTACGGTTCAACAACTCACCGACAAAAAGCTGCAGAATATGTAGCACGAATTGAGAAGATAGAATTCCTTTGCGCATCATCATGGAGAATAGCATCTGTCAACAATGCTGTAGCCTCAACATGGTGCGGTACATTGCCGCGTAGCTTCCAAGCTTCGACCTTTAATTTGGAGATTGTTAGCAAACCACTCATTTCTATCCTTATGCATATGTAACATACCACTGCACAGCCATGGGAACGCAAATCCGGTCCAGCGTACGCAGACGGAGGATAAAACTCGTTCCGCACCTCCAGCAACTGAGACTTGGTTTTCCAAGCCGTGAAAATAACCTTTGCCATTTTCGAGGCTGAGTTTGAAATGAGAAATTAGAAATTAAATTCGACACCAGTTGGGTAACCTTTTGCTTGCTCGACTTTTCGTTGATAGCCTGCGAAATATTTTCGGTAGATTGTTGTTCCTTTGGGATAGATTTGCCGAGGGCTTATTCCTTCCGCAGCCAATCAGAGGGCGAGTTTGTATACCTTCTAAAACTTGAAATATCCAACTATGGTTTAACAAGATGCTTTTAACTTGAGAAAATGGACATAATGATAGCAAAATATTGAGGTAGATTGTGTATCAGATCGTGTACGAGTACACCTAAAGTAAATGTTGGTAGATTTCGTCCCAGGGTATCCTTTCCGTGTATCCGACTCCGAAAAAAAAAAAGAAAATGATGAAAAGAATAACTCCATGCTATGCCGCTGGTACAATAAGTAATGCAAAAAAAGCAGAAAAAAACTCGGTGAGGCGATCTCAGATCCAGCCATACCCGTAGTTCATGCAGGGTTGATTGAAACCAGTAAAAGGCTGCGCAGCAGCCATTGGCTGCTGATCCGTATCATCGTGGTCAAAAAAGAAAGACCGCTGGAGCAGGTTCAGAGCCTGTTTGGGTTGTTGCTTGGAAGCGTAGTTCGACTGGCGAATGGTAGATGTAGATTCATGGTAGGTTGGTTGTTGGGGTAATTCATTATGACCAATGATCTCGACCTCCGGATCCGTCTCGCCCTTGTCTTCGTCGGATGGGGTGAATGTCTCTTCGAGTTTCAGGCCCTCGCCTAATTTGCTCTGCGGGGCTCGTGCTAGTGTTCCGTTGGGTTGACTGTAGAGGCCCATGCCAACCAGTTCTTCTTCCGCCTTTGCGGTCCTCTTAGGCTCGGCGGTGGGCTGGAAGGGAACTTCGAATTGTTGAATAGGGAGGAAGTCGGGTGTTGATGGGCCACTCAGTTCACCTGGGGAGGGCATGTTGACGTAGCTTGGACATGTTGTCTCTGGTGGGGGGATGTTGGTGCCCATTGACAGCATGTCGAGGTTCCAGTTGTCGGAGGCTGGGTGCGATATTGTTGACATATCAGTTGACATGGTGCTGAAATCCCATCCCATTGGGTCGACCTGTGAGCCAGTCATGAGTGTCGGCGTGTGTTGCGGTAGCGGAAAATCCTCCTGCATGGCTGAGTACACAGGGAAGTAGTCGTTAGGAGAGAATGAAGGGTCGGCAGTCATAGGATATGATATCATGTTCTGGCCGTAGACGGCGGAGTTGAGGTACTGATCAGACACGGCTCCCATACCGGCATAGCTATCCGAAGGGAAATCTGAGATGTACGGGTTGGAAAGACCCCGAGCTCTTGCGGATGATGGATGCCAACTCATCGGACGTGAATTCCGGGCAGCTGAGGCGAGTAGAGCTGCTTCCAGTGATGACTGATATTGTGGTAGTCCATGAATCACATTTTGATTCACTGTTGATCTTCTCCTGGTTGCTGATGAAGGACTATTGCCTGCACTACGAGGCTTCATGACACGAGTTTGCCTCGGTCGAGGGAAAGCACGTAGATCTTGCATGTTGGACTGGTTATAATCATTGCTTTGAAGCCATTGAGAGCCTGAAGGGGGCTGAGGTTGCCAATGATAATTGGCCATATAAGAAAGTGAGAAGAGTAAGAGAAGAACTGAGGGGGAAATCAAGTCAGTATATAGTCAATACTAGGTAGCAAATAAAGCTTACGTAGTGTGCGAATCAAGAGTAATAAAAAAAGGGCCGGTTCCAGAGTTATTTTCAATGAAGATCCCGTTACTAGGTAAGGCAGTCTTATAAGGGAATCCAGGGCCTAGGATCTACGATGTAAGATGACACGACGTTGACACTAATCTAGAATGAAAAAACCAAATCCATAAAAAAGTTCCACCGTTTCGACCCATAGGGAATACTCCGGAGTGCAGCAAATAGCAGGGTGGGGGATCGGACCTGTGTGGGAACATGGAACATGCATTTTGAGGCGAACATGGGGAATTAAACAGATTAAATTAATTGTTATAGTATATTCTATATTATACAGGGGGCCAAGAGTTTGTCCTTTTTCTCTTTTTATACTTCCCCCCCCCTTTTGGCTAATAAAAGCAGAAATTCGATCCAACCTTGGCCCTTTAGCCGCTGGGAATGCTATCTACCCTGTTCCTGTTTCTATCTGTAAAATTATGACCGGATTAGGATTAATATACAGGACACCTTGTCCCCTGTTTCCTTCCCCATAGCGTTACAGAGCCCGTTACGCAAGGGTTACAATGTGATGGACTAGAGATCGACTACGCACATCTGCCTTTTTTTGGATTTCGACAGGGGTATAAAAGTGGAGTTAAAAAGAATTACCGTCATTCCTAAAAGCCTAGATCAAAGAACTGTCTCTCTCCCTTTGTACCGTGCATACCCGCTATTTTCATTTACCATATGGAGGACATGATGCAGGAGATGCATCATTGCCACCATGATCTTTATTGATGTATTGACTCTTTTTTTGACTTTTCGTATTGTAAATGTTCCGAGCCTAGAAATAGACTACTTGACTCGGGTCAGGTTCACAGCCAATCAACTAGGGCGTGGCTGAATCGAAAACGGAAACTTGGACCATGCGAGTCTTAGGCTACCTGCATTTTTGCAGGATCAACATTAAAGGTCATTTTCTAATATCACCTGAGAAAAAAAAAGAAAAAAAAAAGAAAAAGAAAAAGAGGGGCGCTAAAATATAGCTAATACAAAGCGTATCGATTGCACGTTTGTGGGCCTGTTTCATCGGCACAGAAATCCATAGACGCCACCAAAATGGGGGAGTAGATAAACTAGAACAAGAAAAATTGAGTGAGCGGGAAGCTCGGCAATCCCAAGCGTTGAATAGTGGAGTATGACTTTTCGGATCAAACGGGAGTCAAGAGTTTTCTAACGGTGGAAGATGTTACAGTAATAATGTGATCAGTCTTGTAAACCTCATATCACCTGCAGCTTGACAAGGTATACGGAGTAGAGGGAAGTTGCAGGGTAATTTCAAGCGCCAATGTCTAGAACTTGGCATTGGACTAAAAGGAACTAAAAATCCAATAAAAATTGAAAAACCAAAGAAAAAGGAGATTTACAACGTGGCCAGGTGGATCTGATCGTTAGGGCTCTGCCAAAGCCAAAAACCAATCCCCGGGTCTGGTCAGGGGCATTTTTTTTTCCCTTTGATTTTACAATTTATAAATACTTTCTATTCTTTAGAGAGGTAAGAAACACAGTATATATAGAATATAGATCAGTTTTAACCTGTACTTCGTAGGTACAAATAATAGCCGATCATGCAAAACACATCAAGCCCATCACGCGGCATCCAAACCTGTACCGGCACGCATTTAAAGACCCACCCTAGGGCCAGGGAAAAAAATAGGAAATAATTGGAGACAATTTTCCAGCAGGCCAGATGTGTCTGATTTGTCTTGATCAGAGTTCTCTAGTGGAACACCTAAGAAATGCCGATCCTTAATGGTATGCACTGAGCACACCGTCACAGGCATATTGGGGTTTCTTTAAAAGGATCTCAGGTCTGATCACCCCCTTGGAAAAAAAAAACACAAAGAGATACTTCATATATTCACAGGATTCAGCTTATGTTGTACAGAGTACGGAGTCGCAAATACGAGATTCCTAAACCCTGCATGCCTCGCAAGATCCGAGGCCCAGTACCATGTTTCCTTTCCAATATAATCTACTTATAGTAAACTAGTACAAATAGGTACGAAGTCCACGGAGTCCACGGAGTATGTTAAGCAGCGGTCACGTCCGAGACCGACGCCAAATCAGGCTTTCAATAAGCCTCTTTTTTTGGTTACAGTAATCTGGGAAAGGGAGCATATCCACCAACACTAGCGATGAACTTTCCATTTCACTTTCAAAAACCCACTCACTCCACTATTGGGGCACAGCCGATCCCAGCTTCCTTCATCCTTCCAGACGTCCCATGTCGGGGGTTATGATTGCCCGGTTCCCCTTCCTAGCCCCAAAGAATGCAGCGGGAGCTGCGGGCCAGGTCAATTTGGCTTGCTTTAGCGCCATGTCATCAGCTCCTTACGGTGTAGCATCGGATGCAAACGTTTGGGTCACCCTCGTCCCCGTGCGTTCCTCCTTTGTTGTTTTGGGGCTGATATATGAAATGTGATGAGATTAAAAAGAAATCAGGGATACAAATGTACAAATGTACCTTTTTAGACGGATCACGGAGTATGGAGGTAGAAAATAATAATCTGACCGTGTATTGCCTCGGCCCCTAATCAGATGTTAGTCAGCATAATTGGCGGGCCCCGCGGGCTCATCTCAGGACTCGACGATCGTTGGGATTATCCTCCGACCAGAAAATCCATGGATGTCTTCAAGGTTGAAACTTAGACCTGCCGTTTCCCGATAGGCCGCAATATTAGGGAATCAGCTACCTCAGAACTAGGCGATTTTCAAAGGCTATTTCCCAGTCTAGGCTTTGTTTTTTTTTTTTAGTCCAGACCTTACCCTGTGACACCATAGACAGACACGTAAGGTCTAATGCAAGATGCACGATGAAGGCTGCAGCCTCACGGTTATGCTTCGTCATCGACTCAACTCTACGAACCATAATCCGTATTGGGGCGCAATTCATAAATGCAGGTTACCATCCTCGGATATGTTGGGTCATGACGCCACATAAGGTCTAGGTCTGAAAACAGTTTAGAAGTCAAACATATGACTGTAGAATATCCCCATGTTGGGTGGGAATGGTGTTGAGTCAAGCGCCTAGCGGTCAACGTTCTCCTCAGAGAGAGGTTGGACCAATCACATTCCTCCGTTACCCCGAATCTCTCGAAATTACTCCAAAACTTTCTCTCATCTCTTTACTTTACCTGCAACGCTTTGCCCATCCGTTTTGTCCTCGTTACGGGTCCCACATTCTTGGTCTATGCGCCCTTTCCATACTCGTGCTGATCCTCTTTAGCTGATCTTGCTCCCAAAGGAAAGTTAATGAGTTGGGGATACACATGCAGGGGCTGATCCTGAGGGGCTGCCCCTCGTATACAACTACGTATCTCTGACTATTTACTACTCCGTACTCCATATGCTATTTCTATTTATGATACTCCGTGCTCCGTACTCCGTACTCCGTACTCCGTACAGGATTGTCAGTCATGTCTAGCTTATACAAACCTTGGACAGCCGGTGTCGCTAGAAGAAGTCCGGTGCAGCTGATGGCAGGGGTATATGCAACGAACAGCTGCAGTGAGATGGCACACCATTTCTAGGGTTATATCGGGGAACACAACTATGACCCTAGCCTTGATTATCGGCGGTTATATGTTGGTGATAGTAATTTGCGCTGTTGGATCACACCAATTTACTGTATGGAGTAAGCAATATTTTGTTCAGATTAGTGAAAGGCGCTCTGGTTAAACGGCAAAACAATATCCACTTGTAATTCTACCACGCTTTTAGAACCTACAAAATTGAGAGGGGCTCAAGCCCTGAAGTCATTCCCGCGCTCTCCATAATAGTTTAATAAACTAGACCAAATAAGGAAATGTAATTGCCCGGGCTCGCGTTAAGGCTTTTGAGACATCAGATTGCCCACCCCATGTAAGCCCCGATTCGACTGCGTACCTGGGATATATACATCCGCTTATATACACCCGCTTCGCTTTTCACCGCGATCTCCATCGAGCACACTTGCAATTTTATCGTTCCACAACTGGATGCCGAGGCACATATGTGATATACACTGCTTCCGTACTTCCCACACAGGCAACTTGCATCTTCAGTGTACAACGTATATTGTATACTATATGTACTCGGTAATATGCACCGAGTTCATCACTTCTTCAAGTCATTCCAACTCGCCTACATATGCGCCTACAGCACACCCACCTACAACATACAGCACACACTCATTTTTGTATCCATAGTTAATTCCCACTTTAAAGATCACCCAAAAAAGATCAACCTAATGAAAAAAAAAATACTTATATTATCAGTGGAAACAGCCCCCCGACAGACCCAGTTTACTGGAGTCACAGCCCCCACCTGAAACGAGTATCATTGCCATATCGGACAATTGGTCCAACGGAGTCACTTACCCGCTTCTTTCCCGCTCCAACAGCGACACGCTTTGAGGTGGATACGAAATAGAGGTGGGTGTTACCGAGAACGATGAGCGCATTATTGATGAAAGCCCTGAGCACATTATTGATTTCGGGCAATGGCTATTGCAGTAGACTGAATTTTACACTTTCCAGTGCAATCTAGTAGATCACGGGTGGACTGTGGAGAACACGGTCTTGGTGTGGATAAGAGCTTGCTGCGCATTAATTGTTGCGGGCTTGCTGTA